GGCACTCTGCGGCACTCTCCGGCACTCTTCAGCAACTCTCCGGCACTCTCCGGCTCTCTCCGGCACTCTGCGGCAACTCTCCGGCACTCTACTGCACTTAACAATACTCAACAGCACTGTACGGCCTTCGATTAGGCTCGAAAACACTTGAAAAACGCGCGAAAACAATCGATAACGCTCGATGACGCTCGATAACGCTCAAAAATGCTCTGAAAATGACCGAGAAACGCTCGAAAACGTTCAAAAATGCTGGAAAAACGATCGAAAACGCTTTATAAACGCTCGATAACGCTAGTAGGGAAATGTAAAAATCATACGCGGAATGACTCGGCTTATATCCGCAGATAGGTAAGCCTCGGGAGGATTTTTCGCAGTTTCGTCTCTACGCATACTCGCCGAGTATAGCGCCGAATAGACACATACTTAACGTCTCGACCCGTAGTTGGCGCTTGGCCGGTTGAGCCGCGCTAAGTTTCTAGGAGCGATCGCACTCACACACATTCGCTGCATGAGAGTTCCGTACACGACACCGACGCGTGCCCCAAAGCTCCGCATCACGTCGACTTCGCCGCAACAATGTACTTAACAGTAGTAGATAAGTAGATAAAGTCAAATGGAGCGTCACGAGTGTTCTTTCCTTACCATCAAAAGCGAGCAGTGTCAGTAAGCGCAGGTAAGCCACCACCGTCAGCTGCCGCATGGTATTACCATCACGAGTACGTGAGCCGCCAACGGCGACTGGTAGATGGTACCGCCCTCGCGAGTGCGCGAGCTCCTATCAGAAATTCGTTGCGCCGCCCGTGGGGGCAAAAAACGGTGAAAGCTAACGTACGAAACCAGAGGGTAACACAGGATGCTATCGCACGATCCTGCCCGTGAGCAATCTCCCAACTCATCTCTGCTCTATATCGTTGTAGGTACAGAGATGAGTTGGGAGATTGCTCACGGGTAGGATCGTGCAATCGCAGCCTGTGCTGCCATCCGGTGGACGATACGAATGGCTAACGCACTTGCCATCTGTCACCCCTCAATGGCGGCGCAACTAATTTCTGATGGGGCCTCGCGCACTCCGCAGATGGCGGTGCTATCTAAGAGTCGTCGTCGCTGGCGGCTCACGCACTCGTGCCGTCCGCATTCTCCACCGTGGGCAGCACAGGTTGCGATCGCAAGACCCTGCCCGTGAGCAATCTCATAACTCATCTTTGTAGGAACAAGGGGGTTTATTACGTAAAGCAAATTGAGCGAAAATGTGGAAAATGAGTAGCTGACGTTATTATGGAACGATTTTGGTGGTGAAAATGCGAGACCATTCATGTGAACTTACTCGGTACAAATTTTTAAGCGAAATAGTGAAGCGTACAAGAAAAGATAGAAAATTAAACGCCGTGAACGCTATCTTCCACGGATTGTGACACCAAAATTCAAAATGAAAAACCTCCTGGGTGTTTTGATATTTGGCAAAAATCGTATTCGGGTATGTAATAATAACCTTATTAGAAGAAGAAAGGAATTACGTGATGCCTCAGACCCATTTTCGTGAGAAGAAAGAGAATTTACTAGTATGTACAGGTTAGTGTTTGTCATTATGAGGTTATATTAAATTATTAAACATGTAAACCTGTTAAACAATTCATGCTCGCATGACATGATAAGAAAATTATATCGTTGAACTTGAAGTTATAGTAAATGTAAATATGAATTGACTCGAGTCCTCTTCTTTACCTTTAACGGCTTTTTCCATCTTCCCGCCTTTCCTGCCTATAACCCACACCTCTCAGCAATGTTCGATTTCCAAGGTATATACCTTTATTTTAATATTACTAGACCGGACTAGATACGATCAAAGAGCTCTTAATTAGTAGCAATGAAAGTAGTAATGAAGTATAAAAATGAATTCTATATTTTCCAATGAAGAAGAACGGAGTAAGTCATAATAACGGCTAGTTAGCGATGTTAGCCAGTCGCATTCCTTCTTAGGTAAGTGGGATTCCAGTCTCCTGCCAGCTTCGACGCGATATCGCTCGGGTCGCGTCTCGACGTCTCCGAAGACGCCGTCCGCCCTCGGCTCGTTCAGGGCGCATTCGGGAGTCGACACCCTCGAGAATTCTACCCCAGGGTGTTCAGGTGCCAAGTGGAATCGCCCGACAAATTGGTCCAGTACCATCGCCACGCCACGCCGAATACCGAACGACTCGGAGACGGTGCCAACCTCTGCCGCGGGGTACAACGGTCGGAAGGAAGCGTTCGCGTCGGACACGTGGCTCGGCCAAACTAGGTGCCGAGACACGGTCGACGTATCGGTTCCTAAGTTACCGTAGTAATCGAACTCTGCGTAACTTTGTTGCCCGTTAATCGGAGAAGCTCGTTGCAAAGCTCGCGCGTACATTCGGAGGACGTTGGAGCGACATCGTCCTCGGGACCGTGCCCCGTCGAATCGATCGGTGCACGGGCAAACTGGTACTCGAGGAGGCAGCCGGAAAAGTTGCAAAAGACAGGCGGGTCTCGAAAGCGATCGGCGAGACCGTCCGCGCAGCAATTCGGGGGAGAGGATACGAGTCGACTCGAGTCGACTCGAGTGCGCGCGCGCCGGTCGCGCCTGGTCGCGCCTGGTCGCGCCGAGCAGGGGAGCCAACCCCGTGGCAGTCGCCAGCGGTCGCCAGTCCCAGCCAGTCGCAGCCAGTCGCAGCCAGTCGCCGATTCTCCGGCTACGAGCCCGGTGCGCGCGGCTAGGTCGGTTTCCCTTCTCTCCTACCCGGGTGAACCTCCGTGCCTACCTTGGGACAATTCTCCCTCCGACTCGGCGCTCGTTGGTCCCGGACGCTAGTTCCCCGGCAGGTCGATTTTTATCATTCCGCGTGTCGGAACGTTTCGATCGCTCCGGTCATTTATTTGGCGTTACGTACGTTTTCCTCTCCCTACCCCTTTTCGATGAGTTATTTTGCATATCTACGCGGAACGGGACGCGTTCGATGCGCGTTACGCATCGTACGTCGTTAAATTTCCCATCTTTTACGAGCAGTGCTCCGACGTACCTCCAGTGTATCGAGTTAAGCGAAGAAACGTGCTTTATTTTTGCTGGACAAGAGAATTGGCCTGGAAACGTGTACGTACGTACGTAGAATCGGGATATCGATGGAACCGGTGAACCATCGGCTTGACGCGACGACGGGGACGATCGTCGAGTCCGATTTCAGCTTTTCAAAGAATTTGCTGGTGTAAAGGGTCTTTAAAAGGAATTTCGAATAGCGTGGATACGGCGTATGGTCGAGACGCGTGATTTCAATTCCCATTTCCGACCGATTCACCCCGGGATGGATCCGGCGAAGCCAGGAGCTCTTGGAAAATTGGGGAACGGTCCGAAATGGTTTCACGTGGGTGGGTTCGCGTTATATGATATTTAGCGAAAACCGGCGTTATCTGGAGCGGCGACGACGACGTCGACGTCGTTGACGTCGTTTCCTCGCGCCCGGAGCGATCGTCCCGACGTGGGAGCGACGAGCGAAAGAGAGAGAAGAGGCACGGCCACGCCCGTTTCGGTCCTGTCGGGAGGCGCGCCGGAAGCCGGAAGCCGGTCGGTCGGCCGGTCGGTCCATCCGGCCGAGGAACGACTCGGCACGACTCGGCACGACTCGGCACGACTCGGCACGCGGCCACGTTTGGTTGCAGGGGAGCAAGGGGTTGGACGCGGCGAGGAGTGCGGGGGGCGGTCGCAGGATGCCCCCGACGGTCGGGGAGACTCTGCGAGCGTGGCTGCTCTCCGCCCTGGTGGTGCACGTCGCCGTCGCCGGGAACCCCGACGCGAAACGACTCTACGACGATCTGCTCTCCAACTACAACAAGCTGGTGCGCCCGGTCGTCAATACGTCGGACGTGCTCCGCGTCTGCATCAAGCTCAAGCTCTCCCAGCTCATCGACGTGGTGAGCGCTCGACCTGGCGTTTCTTTCTCCCTCTCTCGGTCACCGAGCCCAAGGATTCGGTCGGCGAAAAGCAATTTTTTCTTAATCACCGTTATCGCCGCACGGCGACTCGACGGGATTCGAGACTCGGATCGATTCGGCCGACGAGGTATTCTCCGGAACCGGAATGTGTCTTTCCCACTCGCGGAATCGAAATATCTCGAGCCGCGAGCGGGAGAACTCGGTCCACGTGGACGAGACTACTCGGCGACTACTCGCGCCGCCGTCCCGAGCGGGAGCAAACGACGGCGGAGACTCGAATGCTCCGGGCAGAAGGTGATTCGCCTCGAAGGAGGACGTCCGTCGAGGCGCGCCGAGCCTCGGAGCCCCGTCGCGGATCGATGGGTGTGCTTCGCACCCGCGGAATTCAATCGAGGCCACGGCCCGCGGTAATCGCGTTTGCGTCGAAACACCTCGGGAACCGGTCGCGTCCCCCGACACGCGAAAGTTGCGAAACGAGGGTCGGCGGGGAAATCGAGAGCTCGGGCCCGTCGAGCGACGCGTATAGGGGGTCGTTAGGCAAAATGAAGCTGCGCGACAAAGGGTTTCCGATTACTGCCACGCTCCAAGAACAATGCGGTGTAATGGGAATGGCTAGGAACGATGCGGCGTCGGCAACCACCACCGACCGAGTGCCCGTCAACGAGTCGGCGTTTGCGCTATCGTGCCAGCCCGACGCGCGCCTTCTCGAGTTTGCATCCGCCACGCCACGCCACGCCGCGCCACGCCACGCCACGCCACGCCACGCCACGCCACGCCACGCCACGCCGTGACTTTCGTTGGAGCGATCTGCCGAGTTCCGATTTGCGGAGATGCCCCCGAGGGCTCGCGCTATCCCTCCGCGGCCGCTCGAGTAAATACCTGTCGGTAGTCCAATTCCTCCGTTAATCTAATTCCGAGTGGCGATCCAGGCACGTCGGGAATGCTCGCATACCTGCCGCGGATCGGACCGAGCGGAATGCCTCCTCCGCGAGGAGACGTTAACGAGCCTCGACCCCGGTGCTGCGACGTCCGGCTCGAAAATGGCCGTTTCGCGCTTTTTCGAATCGTCCGGTTATTTCCGGACGCGAGCGGACGGAGAAGGGATCCGGTCGATGCGCCGAGTTAATATCGCCCCAACGAACGGCAGCGGCTGTAACGGCTGGCGCGAAACCGTCCGGGCGCGGTGGAATTAATCGCGTAATCGAGTCGGGTAATGCCGTCGGCGGCGGTGGGTGCTATAATTGAATTCGTTCGATTTTCAACTCGACCGTAATGGCGCTCGGCACGATGGAAATTACGCCCGGGAAGCCTGGAGCATCCTCGACCTCGAGTAGCGGGCGCGATCGATCGACTCGCGAGACGTCGCCGGGGTCCTGGACCGAATTCTCCCCCCCGACTACCGGGTTCGAGCTAACCACGGTCTCCGCTTTCCCTGTTGCAGAATCTGAAGAACCAGATCATGACGACGAACCTCTGGGTGGAACAGGTGAGCGTCCCCCTCTCGCCGTCGCGACGTCCCCTGGTGGCCCGGTGGCCCGGTGGCCCGGTGGCGAGCCGACGGGAGGGTCGAGTCGAGAATCGGCATCTTCCGGAAAGCTCGCGCGCAAACTTTTTGCGGCGCGGCGTGCCCTCGAGCGCGTACGCGCGGCGAGCGGCGAGCGGCAAACGGCAAACGGCAAACGGCAAACGGCAAGCGGTAAGCCCCCGCGGCGTCTCGTGTAAATATTTCCAACCGTAACGCCGACTTCGGAGGAAAGCTCACCCCCTCGATTTCTCGCGCGCGGAAACCGAAGGGGATGCTCGGAGAAGGGAAGCGATCGATGCCCGTGGGGAAAGCAAACTTCGGAAATGGCCCCGCTCCTCGAGGAAGGGGGAGATCGGCATTGCGAGCGAAGGTTCGCGCTTTTGCCCGCGATTTCAATGAAAAAGCGACGCTCGGGATCGAATTCAAAGGGCGTCCCGTCCTCGAGGTATTTCGCGTCTTCCCCCGACCGGGGAACCGGGCCACCTTTGAGAGGACGCCTCCACCCTCGCGGCCGTCGACGACCCGCTCACGTTGCCCCGATTGGCTGTTCGAAGAGTTGGTACGACTACAAGCTGCGCTGGGAGCCGAAGGAGTACGGCGGCGTGCACATGCTGCACGTGCCCTCGGATCACATTTGGCGGCCCGACATCGTCCTCTACAACAAGTGAGTCGCCGAGCCTTCCCCGAGCCGGCCGAGCATGTTGTCGGGTCGGGTCGGACCGGACTCGGTCTTCCAGGGTCCGCGGCGACGCGCCAAACGCACCCGCGACCCCGTTTCCCCGTCTCCCCGCCTCCCCGCCTCCCCGCCTCCCCGCCTCCCCGCCTCCCCGCCTCCCCGCCTCCCCGCCACCCCGTCTCCCCGTTTCTCCGTTTCCTCGCGCCGAGTTCGCGTGCATTTGGCGCGTCGATCGCGGCAAGCCGCGGAGCAATTTTTCCACGTAGACGAGATAGATTCATATCGCATGAAATATGGGCGCTGCGGCGAGGGTTCGCGCGAAGAAGCGACGTCCCTCCGGATGGGACGGAACTCCTCTTCGACGCGGAGGAAAGTGGAAACGGAAAGGAGATTCGGTCGCAGGGAGAGCTCGCCGCTGGTTGAAGGAGCATTTTGCGAGACCCCACTCGGGAACTGATCTGGATCGATGCGGAGCCCGGTTTTCGAAACGGCGGCGAAACCACTCGAGGGAAATGATTTCGATCGCGCAACCACGCTTCGGTGACACGAAGCTCTCGTAGTGCCGTGAATAATTGCGGTTCGCGATTTTCGCCGGCCCGCGGGGGTCGCGCAGGGCGGTACCGGCGCAACCAATAATTGCGCATTTTACCGAGATCATTTTTCGGGCATGGGAACTAACTTCCGACCCCCTCCTTCTCCCCGCTCCCGTTCGGAACCGCACCCGCCGGGAAATGCCGTTCACCTTTGGGAAAAGAGGAGCAAATCTCGAGGAGATCGCGCGAGGTGTCTTTGTACCCGTTGGACCGAACGCGACGGAAGGGTAAAAACGACCTTCCCGGTTAACGCCGGTAATAAGTAAAGCGTAACGAAGCTTCGGAGAGGGTTGGGGGCTTTTCGACTTGTACGGAATCGATTCGTTCGTTTGCCGTAGTCTTTTTAATTGGTACGAGTTGGATCGAGCTTCCGAGAGAAGGACGTACTTCCGGGAGGCGAATGCAATAATGGAATGAATGGAAAAGGAGCTGCGCTCTACTCGCCCAAGTCGATCTACGCGAAGGGAGATAATTACGTTAATCGGGAGCCTCCCGAGAAGGTGGGGAAGGTGGGGAGTATTTGCGAAAAACGATGCGTTTCGCCAATGGCACGAGGCTGCGCGTTGATCGGGAGAGCCGCCGACCTTACGAGCGACTCGACGACGACCGAATCGGGGCGAAGGGACGAAACTCGAGCCGTTCCCGTCCCGACGCCGAAGACTCTCCTTTCCCGGGCTCCTAAGGCAATCGATCTTCCTTGCCCTCGTCGAGGCCTCCCTCGCGGCACGGACGCGAATCGCCCCTCGCTCGCCCCGGGAGAAAACTCGAACTAGCCGTCGCCCGCGGCCCCCTCCCTCCTTGGACTCGTAGGAACCATCTCGGCCAGGAGGAAGGAAGCTCGCGGGACGGGGTCCGAGGTCCGAGTGCATTGGATCCGCCGGCTAAGCCTTTTATAAGGGTGGAAAGAGAGCGTCGGGACAAAGGCGAACCGCCTTCCGGGCGAAAGAAGGGCGTCGGGGGTCGGAAACGGCGTCGCCGCCATTGTGAGGCCCGAGGGCGCTCTCCGCTAAATCAGCCGCTCTTCTCTTTCCTTGGCCGGGAACTCCCGAGGCTCGTGACCTTGCCGAGATTCTGGAGCACCTTCGAGGTAACGGATGCGTCTAATCGCGCCGCGATCTCTACCAACTCCGCAAAGGCTCGTTCTCCTCGGCCTTTTCGACGACCACCGCCCCCGCGATTCGATCGTTTCCCGGGGGACGAGAGCGACGAGGCGCGCGACGGACCGGGATATTTTCTTCCGGAAATTGCTCCGCGCGAGCGAGGAGGAACGTTGGAGAGGACATTAAGCGAAATTGAAATTTGGCCGTCCGAGGAGAGAGCGCGTCGCTTCCTTCTCTTTTAATCTCGAGGGGAACGGCCGAGACGAGGAGGAGGAGGCGACGGCTACCCAGCCCAACCCGACCAATTTTCCCCTCCCTCGCGAAACGATCGGTGGGAACGGATTTCTTCGATCCTCCCGCCTCCCCATTGCCCTCCTGCCACCGGGCGCTTCTCGCATCGATCCTCTTAATTCCGGGAAACGGTACCCGGTACCCGGTACCCGGTACCCGGTACCCGGTACCCGGACTCGGGGGATTCGGCGGACGCGGCCGGGCGTTTTCTCTTTCGAGCGTTAATCTCGATAATTACGAGTCGGTTCGCGAGGCTTTTACCCCGAGTCGTTTCTTTTGCGGCCCCTCGTGACTCCACCTCTTGTACACCCTCCGGCGACCGGCGACCGGCCTCCGCCCTCCGCCCTCCGCCCTCCGCCCTCCGCCATTACGCCGAGGCCTTTGGAAAAACGGGCGACGCTCTCGCGAGAAGACGCGGCTCCTCGGGGAGTATCTGGGTTAATGAATTGCCGGGGCCGGAACGCGTTTCACGAGGGCCGCGCTTCCGAGGGACGCCCGGCGTAGATAACGCGAGGTAGAAGAGAGCAAACTCGAACGTACGAAGTAAGCTCGACCGCCGCAGCGCCCAGAACCACTAATGTGCTCGCTCGCAGCGCGGACGGAAACTTCGAGGTGACGTTGGCCACGAAGGCCACCATCTATCACCAGGGCCTGGTCGAATGGAAGCCACCGGCCATTTATAAGTCCTCCTGCGAAATCGACGTCGAGTACTTCCCCTTCGACGAGCAGACCTGCGTCCTCAAGTTCGGTTCGTGGACCTATGACGGCTTCAAGGTAAACTCGCATGGTAGATCGTAAGACCGCGCGAGACCGCGCGAGACCGCGCGAGACCGCGCGTCGCCGCCGGCCTCGGGGCCCCGCCCGCCCGAGGTCGGCCCAGGACGGACTCGGGGATCGGATGCGATGCCTCGGCGGCCCGCCCCGAGGGGCCGTCGACGCACCAGGGTGCTGCCGCCCGATCGGCCGGGGAGAGGGGTCCGAAGAGTCGATCGACAATCCGCCGAGATGAAACGTCCGGTCCGTAGGCGCCGTTCCCGTCGACGCGCTGCATGTGCCACCCGAACGCGCGCCGGCGTCGCCCCTGCATGGCTGAAGTGTCCGAGGCCGGGGTACCCGGGGTACCCGGGGTACCTCGTCACCGTTTCGCAGGGGAGCTGGAGAGTCGATTCCCCTCCGAGGGCGGCAGCACCCACGTCTTTTCCAGGAGCACGGAGACGACGGTGAGGTTGTTTGTTCGGTGATTGCAGCGCCGACGGGAACTACGAGGTGACTCTGATGACCAAGGCGACGGTCTACTATTCCGGGCTGGTCGTCTGGCAGCCACCGGCCGTATATAAATCGTCCTGCTCCATCGACGTTGAGTTCTTTCCCTACGACGTACAGACCTGTGTTTTGAAGTTAGGCTCCTGGACTTATGACGGTTTTAAGGTGCCGAATTACCAAACGAATTTCATTTAACCAGTCTTTAGGAATGCCTCGTGATCGCCGTCTCGTGCCGTTGCGTTCGTGCGATGCGCTGTTGGACGTCGTATGCGTATTGTTCCATTATACGTACAACGTACCGTCGTTCCTCCATACCTGCATACGTATATATTTATATATCTATATATCTATATACTTGCGTGTCTATACGTTATGATATCCGTGTATCCATACGTCCATACATGTATATACGTCTATACGTATGTACGTACCTGCGTGTGTATACAGTTGGATCTTGCCAGTTTGATTGACGTCGTTCGTGCAGTGTCTTTTTAACGTTCTACGTGCGTGTGGTCCTTCCGCAGTATGTTGACCGAGTTGCACCCTTGACCGTTGATATTTTATACGTGTCCATGTGTGTAACGCTCCTACATCGCCGGTTTTCGCGACTTTTTGCCGACGAACCCGTCGGCTTCGCGGGGACCGCGAATCGGTCCAACTTCCGACGAGAATCGTCCATCCCCTCGTCTTCGCTCGGCTCCTCGCGGCTTCCTCGCGACTTCCTCGCGGTTTCCTCGGCCTCGAAGTCGGACCAGCGGTATGGGAGCATCATAAGTATGCACTCATCAAGTATCGACTCGACGAGCGCCCGAAAGGCGAAGCAACTCCGGAGGGAGGGTGTCGTCGAGTCGCGATTCGTCCGATCCGACCGAGTTTCTCGGAGGTTGGACGGCGGATCGATCGGCCGGTTCCGATCTCTCGTCCGTCGGACTCGAGGCACGTGGGAAAGGTATAAGATCGGGGAGAGCGCCGATACCTCTCGGATACGGCCGTCTCGGGTAGGAGATAAGGACGTAATTAATGCTCGACGCCGGACAGCGCCCCTTCGGCGGAACTCGCGATAAGCCGCGCCGGTTAATCCGATCCCCGGTCTAGATTCGCGTGGGCAAGTCGATACCTCCCGCGGCCGACGGGGCCGGGTGGTCCGGGTGGTCCGGGTGGTCCGGGTGGTCCGGGTGGTCCGGGTGGTCCGGGTGGAAGGACCGGCGGCCGTCCAAGTGGCCATCGATTTCCCGTCCGAGTCGTTTCACGTTCCCTTTCAGCGGGCCGGCGTTAATGGAATATCGCGGTCGCGGATGGGCACTGAGTCCGTCGTCGGCTCGGCCGGCTCGGCCGGCTCGGCCGGCTCTCGCATCGATCGGAAACGAGCTCGGAATCGAACGAAAAACGGTACAGGCCCTCGAGGAGCTCGGCCCCGTTCTCCGCGGTTATTGGCATTCCGAGCGAGAGCTCTCGGCCTCGGTCCTGCCCCGGTCGCCGATAACGGCGCGCGATCGGCGGTGGGGCAGGAGCGGATCGGACGGTCCGCGCGGCCGGGAGGGCGGGCGTGACCCGGTCACGTCGCCTCGTCGGTCGAGCCACTCCACGAGTCAGCGACTCGCCTCCACCATCTTAAAGCCAGGCTCGCTTTATTCGAGAGCGCCGTCCTCTGCCCCGAGAGCCCTCGAGTAAAGGCGGCGTCGTCCTCGGCTCGAGGAGCCGAACGAGTCGGAAATAGACACCCCCTTTGACGTTAATTTCGTGCCCCGCCGCCCCACAGCTCGCCCCCCGCTTTATACCTTTTCCACGGGGACTCGGAGGAAGGGCGGCCCGGTTGCGTTCGTATCCAACGGTCCGGTCGCGAGCGGAGTCGCGCCTCCGCGCGCCGCCCCAGATACCGCCGTCCACGCCCTGCGCGAAAGACGCCTGTACTCTACCGTACGTTGGTCGTTACCATTCGATGAGTGCGTACGTAAGTGTGTACGTTTTTGTACGATAGTGCCGCACAGAGTGGCTGGATGTAGTTGTGGCGCGTAGAGCGATGCTATGTGCTTGCGTGCTCGGAAAGCTTTCTTAGAGAGGCTGCAAGGAACTTCCGCGCTCTCGGTTGTTCCCGGTTGTTACCGGTCGGTCCAGGTCGGTCCCGGTCGGTCCCGGTGGGTCGACTCTTGGGACTCCCACCGGCGCGCGAGAAAGGAACCCATCCCGGATCGATCCCCGGACGGTGTCCCGATCGATCGCGTCAACGGACAAAGAGGGGTCGGAAAGGGGCCGAAGACTAACGTAACGGTCGCGCCCTAATCGCGAAGACGTTCGTTGGCGACCTTCTCCGGAGGACAGCTCTCGGCGGCCCCTCCGGGGCAAAGCCGGCCCCGGCTCGGATCGCCAGCGGAGGGAGCAGTCCCGAGAGCTTTCCTCCCGGAAACCGTTAACGGCGTCTCCGCGAGTTGGGGCGACTCGAGGAACGATCGACCCGAGTACAGGAAACGGACGATTCTCGACGACCCCTTCGTCCCTTCCGTCGAGACGAGGCGCGCGTATCGACCTCGCGGTCTTTCCACGATGCGAGGAGACGCGAAGGATGCGCGAGAAAGCCCGAGTGGAAGGAGGGTCGTCCTCGGCAGGATTCCAAAGTCGCGTCTCGTCGGCCGAAAAGGCTCGAGGAGAGAACGTCGACTCGTTTCTTCCGCTTTATGATTTTCGCCCCGACGACGGCTTCGTGGAGGCTTTTCTTTCGATGTCGTCCTCGCGTCCTTCCGCCGAGGAGGCGGCGCGTCTCGTTTCTCTTAAACGAGCGGCACTTCCCCCGAGATCTCGCCGAAACGTCGGACTCGTTGAAAGGATCTTCCGCCATCGCGATCGTTCCGGCGAGGAAAACAGGTGGAAAGGAAGAAGAAACATTCGACAAAGGCCAGGAAGGTGGACGCCAGTCTATCGGAACGAACGACGAAGCGGGTGATCGAAACGAGAGAGAAAGCCGCGGCGCGGCGTGGCGCGTCCGTTGAAAATCCAGTTTCCGAAATAAAAGCGAGGGCGGGAAAAGAGAGAACCGGCCGTTCCATTAGCTCCGATAACGGGAGGAACGGACGAGGCGCAATTCGCAATTCGCAATTCGCAATTCGGAATGCGGCTGCAGGTGAAATTAATCTCGAGCTCCGCCCCACGCCGGCGACCGCGTCACCTCGCGAGATCGATTCCGCGTCCGCGAAGCTGCAGTTTCCACCCGCGACGGCCCCCGCGTTTTGCGGGGCTCGGAAAGGAACGAAAGGCCCGGGGCGATTCCCCGTCGAGGCCTCGGGTGGCGACGGAAGGTCCGACGGGGTTGCCCCGGGGTGCCGAACGGGGTCGAGCCGGAGGCGGTCGGGGGAGCGGAAGTACGTTCGTAACGAGCGACGCGCGGCCCTCCATTGTCGAGAGTTAAATTGCAGTTTGTTTCGAAGACGGGCCTCTTGAAATTGTAAAACGCGCGCCGAGCTCCGGCCTCGCTTAATTGCTCCCCGTCGACTTTCGCCAGGATCTCGGCGACGGACGCCGTCTCCCTCGAGCCTTCTCGCGGCGAAATCGCCGGTCCACGGGGATGGTCCACGGGGATGGTCCACGGGGATCCTGGAGATTCCGGACCTGTTGAGCGTCCCTCGTCTCGTTGCTTCCCTGCCCGCTGGCGACCTCGAACGAGCCCTCGCGTCCTCGCGAGTCTCCGCCATCGAGGGGGGAAATAAATGAAAATTCCGGGGCCGCGGCTCGAGGGAAGTCGAGCCACTGGCCAGAAGAGGAGGGAGTCGCACTTTCCGTCCATCCCGTCGGTCGACGGTACGAGCCGTGATCGGGCCGGGGCCGGGGCCGGGACCGGGGCCGAGGCGGTTTCCCTGGATTCGTTCGCGCTCGACATCGACGAGAACCGGACGAGAACCGGACGAGAACCGGACGAGAACCGGACGAGAACCGGACGAGGGCGAACGAGGAAGCTTGTTTCAGTTGGCGATCGGCGTCGATCCACGGAGGCGCATCACGACTCGCGACTCGTCCACCCGGGGTCCCCCGCTCGAAACCCGCTCGAAACCCGCTCGTTCGCGGACGATTTCGCCCGAGGGCAATTCTTTGACTCATCAACGGGACTCTCTTTCTCTTTTCGGCCAGGTCGACCTGAGGCACATGGACGAAAAGTCCGGCAGCAACGTCGTGGACGTCGGCGTCGACCTTTCCGAGTTCTACATGTCGGTCGAGTGGGACATCTTGGAGGTGCCCGCTGTCAGGTGAGTCGATCGGGGGAGGCTCCGTGTTGGCTCTGCGGCTCGACGCGGTCGCTCAACGTCGTCTCCTTCCGCAGGAACGAAAAGTTTTACACGTGCTGCGACGAGCCTTATCTGGACATTACGTTCAACATCACGATGAGGCGGAAAACGCTCTTCTACACCGTGAACATCATCATCCCCTGTACGGGGATTTCGTTTCTCACGGTGCTAACGTTCTACCTTCCCAGCGACAGCGGCGAGAAGGTGAGCAACAAGTTCCTCCCGTATTTTCCTATTTATACTGCAAGTTTCCCCTTTCGGCGACTCGCGGAAGTTTTTTGACCCATGGCTTGTTTAGGCGGAGTGCCGGATCAAAGAACTTCCTAAGTAGGTGGCACCCTACTCGCGCGAAGTAGTCACCTACGGCAACGCGAATTTCAGAGCAAGAAGTGCGAAAGCTTAGGAAATGGGTGAGAGCCCGATGGTGTAAGTAGCTAAGGGGTTCGAAACTTTTCACGTTCCGCTTTCTCTTCGTACCTTTTCCGATCGCCCGTCCGGCGCCCGTCCGGCGCCCGTCCGGCGCCCGTCCGGCGCCCGTCCGGCGCCCCGAGGCGAGGCGAGGCTCGCCGGAGCAGGTTCCGATCTCGCGGGCCCGATCGGCTCGCGGAAGCTCGGGGTAACTCGAACGCGTATTTCTGCCCCGAGGAAGGAGGGGAGGGGCGAGGACGCTTTTAGAAGCTAAGAGCGGACTCCTTCCTCCGGGGCGGTCGATCGATAGGCGATATCGCGGCCGGGACTCCACCGATCCGGTTGTTTTCCTTGGACGGATTCGACGCCGAGCCGTCCTTTTCTATCTCGTCGGAAAGGGCAAGGCGCCGAAACCCGTCGGGCGGAGTCGTTTACGAGACGTCTCCGGAACGAAACCCGAGGAGACGGAGGGACCGGCGGAAATCGCGAGAGAAAAGTTCCAGTCGACGTCGCGTCTCCTTCCGATATGAAAGGGTGACGGAGGGGGGCGAACTCGCTCGCCGGAGCCGGCGGAGTTGGAAGCGGGACCTTTGTTCCTCTTTTCGCTAGCCCCGGGCCCGTCGACTGCCGGTTCAGGGGTCAAGCGCTCGTCGGTCGGAAAAGTGGAAAGAGCGGCGGCAGAAGCGGCGAAAGCGACGCGGTCGAGCCTGCTCCCGAACTCGGGCCTCCCTCGCCGCTTTTCCTTTTCTCCTCTCTTCGTGCCGTCACTATTTGCTCTTTATCTACGTATGTGTGTGTGTGTGCGGGAGGGTGGGTGTGCGCGCGAACACGCTTTACACGTACGTACAAGCAGCGTCCTAGGAAAGGTGGAGGGCACGAGAGCCGTTCGATGCACGTAATCACGAGATTTGCCGTGATATTTCCCGGCTCGCCAGCGGAAGGCTTCGGCCGGGATAATCCGGAAGGGAGGACCTCGGAAGGGCGGTCCGCTCGTTAAACGCTAGGACGTCTCGACGATGGACCGACGATCGATTTCTCGTTTCAGGTCACTCTGTCCATCTCCATCCTCATCAGTCTGCACGTCTTCTTTCTCCTGGTCGTCGAGATCATCCCGCCCACGTCGCTGGTGGTGCCCCTGCTCGGGAAGTATCTCATATTCGCCATGATACTCGTCTCCATAAGGTGAGTCGGGATCGTCGGGAGGACGCCCTTGTCCGAGGCTCGAGGGAGAGGGCCGAAATCGACCCCCCGAGGGCACTCGAGAGAACTCGAGAGAACTCGAGAGAACTCGAGAGAACTCGAGAAAACTCGATACCGCGCGGATCGATTCCACCCCGCCTACGAGGCTCCCTTTTTGTCGCGGGTCGAAAATCGGGACCGGCGCCGTCTCCTCCGTTCCATGGCGGAAACAACGGCGCGTCGTATCTCTAAGACGTTTTGCGCCCGAAATGTCTCTCGTCGACTGCGCGGAAGATGCCGGTCCTCGTAAAACGGCCGCGATTTCGACCCGACGGATCTCTCTCGCTCGCCCGTCCTCTTCCGGCCGACGAGGGCCGGCCTCGTCGACGTGAATATCGGGCTCGCGGGGCGCGAGCCGAGGGCGGCGGAAGGAGCAACGTCGGAAAGGGTGGCCCGCGGTCGTAAAGTCCGGCTTTACGAGGGAATAAAAGCGTCGGCTAATTGCCGACCAGTCGCCGAGAGGTTCGTCGGGACCGGGCCGATCCGGGCCGAGCGAACGGGGAGGAAATTAGCGAGGGCTGCTAAATATTTATAGAGGGGCGGGAATTCGTTAAGAACGCCGAGACTTCGGGCCGTTGTTCAATTTCTGAGAGGGGAATGGAAATTTCCGGCGCGGCGAGTCGAGTAGCTCGAGGAGCTGTCCGACCCATCCGACTCGGGAAGCGAGCGAGCGAGCGAGTCGACCGGGACCGGAGCTCACGGGGTCCGTCGAAGGGTGGTGGATCGAGCCGTCTTCGAGCGTCGCGACTGACGACTCCCCTCGGGGTTTCAGCATCTGCGTGACCGTGGTGGTCCTCAACGTCCACTTCCGGTCCCCGCAGACGCACCGGATGGCCCCTTGGGTCAAGAGGGTCTTCATCCACACCCTGCCGCCGTTGCTGTACATGAGGAGGCTGCAGTACAAGTTCGACATGAACCGGTGAGTACGTCCCCTCGCCGATTCGGAGAGCGCCAAGGAGAGGACTCCGGCAGTCGGGGACCCGCTCGTCGAAGGCGGTCGGGCGCGAATCGCGCTCGAGGGGAGGGAGGGGGCAAGAGCGCGGTCGAGCCGTTCCGGGGCAATGTTCGATTGGCCATCGTTGCAGATTCGAGTCGGGCCGGAATCCGACGAGACCGGTGCGTAGGAGGCAGAGGCCGTGCTATTATTCGTATCATCCTCCTAGCCAGGAAGACAGCGACGAGGACGCGAACTCGAGGAGGTTCCACGGCCGCGCGCCATCTAAGGAGGACGCGTCGCCCTCTAGGTATCGATCTCTCGTTTGGTCCCGAATCGGCGATCGAGGTACGAAGAAGCGGAGCCCCCTTGCCCGCCCTCAAGTCCCGCGTCCCTTAGTCTTGCAGACGGCGCCAGGTTCGGGGGGAGCTGCCTGATCCACGGGCCCACCCTGCCGCCCCTGCCGCTCGCGGCCGACTGCCCCGAGCTGGAGCCGGTCGCCGCCGAGGAGGTCAAGAGTCCCGTCCTGCGCGACCCTCCACCGGCCTTCTCGCACTCCCGCTGTCCCCCGGAGCTGCACCGGTCCTGCATCTCCGTGCGCTTCATCGCCGAGCACACGCAGATGCTCGAGAACTCGACCAAGGTAGGGCCGACGCGACCGGCGCGACCGGCGCGACCGGCGCTGACCCTGAGTTAAACTGCCCCTTCCGCAGGTCAAGGAGGACTGGAAGTACGTGGCCATGGTCCTCGACAGGCTGTTCCTCTGCATCTTCGGGCTGGCCGTGCTGGTCGGGACCGCGGGCATCATCTTCCAGGCGCCGACGCTCTACGACGACCGAGTTCCTATCGATCAAAAGTTCAGCGAGTTCGCGACGACGACGGTGGTCAGGTGTCCTCCCCAGTAGTCCCGGGGTCGCCTCGGCGAGTGCCCCTCGGTGCGTCGTCGTCGGCGGCGACGTCGGCGAGGGCGACGGCGGCGGCGGCGACGGCGGCTACGTAGAATGCTCGCGTCGGCCGCGGCCCCTCCTCTCGTTCGCGGCTTGTACGCCGCCCGTACTTCCCGAAGAGAGGTGCCAATGTTTTACGGTCGACGTTGTACCTAGTCCGTGCTCAAATACTCGTAAACGCTGCCACTACTTAATCGGTAAATTTAAGGCTCTCGGTGGAAACGCGGCGACGCTCCCCCCCGAGGACCGCGTTGTCGTCAAGTACAGGACGCGATATATAAATATGTATGACGTACCTTTTGTATACCCACTGGCCGCTGCTCGAGCCCGAGTCCGAATCCGAGCGAGACCCCGCGTAGAGACGTTAAAGGTAGATCGGGACCGATCCCCGCGAGAGCCACCCGAGAGACCAGGAGGGGACTCGACTCGCGGATCGGCGGATTCCGTTCCCCCTGGCGACGACCTCCGCGGGATGGGAATCTAGTCCGATACTACGAGCGATTAACCGAACTAGTACGATAAGAACGAGTAAAGCATACAAATTCTAAAGCTAATAGTTGTAGGAAAGTGGAACGACCGTGGCCAGGTCGTTCGCTGCCGTAGTTCGTCGTCGGCGTTCAGTTTAACTTAGGTAGGACCCCAGCGATTCGCCGCGTGGAGTCGAGGTCCTTTGAGCAGGGGACCGCTTTTTCGTGCCTACGACCCGCGATCGCGATGGGAAGCTTTCGAGCCGGGAAAGCGTTACCGTCTTCGTCCGAGCGGCGAAGAATTCGTTTTCAGGAGGGGTTGATCTTGTCGGAAGTCTCTCGAACCGATGGCGACGTCGACGATCAAGGCACGAAGCACGATTAAGGCGCGCACTTAGGACGTAGACGATTAGCAACTAAGTTCTTCCTAACCAACACAAGGTGATCTAAATAATTGATTCGATGCGTCGATTTGTGACGATCCCGGGTGGAACGACCGAGTTCGGGACGATGGGCCGGGCGATTTAGCCGTGTGCATGGACGTACCACGCGTTTCGTCATAAACGTCCCTTATTTACGCCATCGTGTGTTTATTGGGTTTGTAAATACCGTGTAAATGCGGAAAGATATACGAACGGGCGAATCTTTGCGGCCGAAGCGGCCGGAGCGAGGATCGCCATCAAAGTCGGGTGGAACCGGGCCCCGGAAGCACAGGAACGAAGATAAAGGCGCGTCCATCACCGGAAAACGATAACTGACCAAGGCATAACGGTTGAAGAGGCGTAAAGGTAACGTCGAGTAGATTACAGAGGCTTCGACCCTAGGGATTTAGGACGCGGCGATTATGGTTACGATAATAACAATAATAACGGTAAAAATGACGACAAGGCTAGGTGTAACGATAGAAATAACGATTACGGTACGAGTCAACGATAACGTCGCGTCGGCCGCGGGAAAACGAGAGCGCCCGAAACCGCTGACCGCGACAACCGAAACAATGATTATTGTCGTTAGAGACCTATGTATAGCGTAAAGTTTGTTAAATATGTATAATTAACAATGACCGTCGTTGTAAGGGTACACGAAGTAAGGCGAGATTGTTGCTTGGTTTTATAATCATGCTTGACGAAAGCATTCGAAGAATAAAACTTGTCGTAGAATTGCTGGCGATCGGCGTGGTCCACGCCTCGAACGACCCGAGTGATCCCGAACGTTGCGCGTCTACGGCAACGTAGATCGTCGAGGGTTTAACCGGTAGCTTCACAGAGCGGAATCGTTTCCGTTCTCTACCCAGGTCCGCACGGAAGGGAGGGATTCGTTCAACCACGAAATCCACGACGACGCTTCCGACTCGACCCTGGCTGCCGCGAGCCAGACCGTCTCGAGGGATTCGCGGTTCCGCTCCTTGAAGGACTGAAACTAGAAAAGATCGTCGACGTTTCGACCGTTCCGACCGTTCCGCCTCTGGAGAGGAAATTGGAAAAAGGGTCGACTCACGTCCTGTAAATCTCCCGGGGTGGTCAGTCCGCTCGACAGAGCCACCAAGAACGATCGCAAGATCGCCCGGGATCGGGAGAACCTGAAACCAGGCGCGGATCGACGATACGCCACGACTCTAAAAACTCTCTCCCGAAAAACTCACCTGCTCGCGATTTCGTCCCAACGCGTTCTCACGAATTTCAGGGCCATTTGAGATGCTACGGGGTTTTTGGGGAAGGACTCGAGGATGATCGAGACGTCGCCCTCGGTAAAGGTCTTGCCCCCGATGATCTCGTAAAGGATCCTACGAGCAAAAGATTCGTCGCGGTTCCCGTCCGGATTTACGGAAACTGTAGGACGCCTTTCCTGGCGCCGACCAGGGAGGGGCTTTCTAATCGGGTTTGCACTTACGTCTGAAGGAACCTGGGAACCTGGAAACATGCCAACGACGAAAGGACCCGATCCCTTTCCTCTTTGTCTTGGTCGGCGGCGGTCGCTTTCTGCCGGAGGTACCGCCACTCTTCTCGCGCGCCGTACTTGGCGACGACGCGGTACACCGTCTCGCGAACGTGCACCGGGACCCTGAACGAATAAATTGCCGTGTATCGGTCACTGCGATTTCCGACCGCGTCGGAAACGAAAATCTTTAACGAATTTCACATCGCATTCGCCCGAATGTGAAAAGGAACGCGATCGTACTCCTCGTTCTCGGATGATTTGACTCGAACGAACGTCTTCCTCGCCCATTCTATGCACCGAGGTTCCTCGACCATGCACGCCCACTGAGTGGCGACCAGCGCCAGTTGACTTCCGGAATCGACGTCGTGGCCGACTTCGTTGTACAGGGGCGAGATGAACTCTAGGAGGAAATTCTAAAAATATACGTAGGTGACCGTTTTGCGGCAGATGCCTTGACGTCGATATCAACTTGCCTGGAAATCAGGGTAAAAGGAAGAATCGTAGAGGACGTTGGCGATCTTGCGCACGTGTTTCATCGCGACCAGCCACGGGGCATGGTGTCGTTCCTTGATTTGGAGATACTTGGCCAGGCGAAAGGCGACCTCGTAGCTCGTCGATCCAGCCCGGGCAAGCCCGAAGACGTCATCGACGAGAGCGGTCCGGGTAGCCGGCGGAATGGACTCGTGATCGTTGTACAGAGCTTCCGTCAGCAGTTGCCAATTCTTGTCGTCGTAATTGACGCGGTAGTAACCTGAAACGAAAGCGAAGAGGCCCCCGTGGAACCGCGATCGGTGGCCAAAGTCGGGGAAACGCTCACCGATCCGGTCGACGTTGAAGACGACCCAGGAGCGTCCTTCGGGCGAACCGACGTTGTCCAGCTTGACCTCGGCCGAGTCGTTGAGCCAGGTCGTCGCGGGGGAGCGCCAGTCGTCGCCGTCGGCGACGTGGGTAAGAGGGACGTTCCAGAAGCGGCCCGGACTCGCCGTCTCGTCGTAGGTGAATCTGGCCTGGGCAGCGAGATCCCCGGTTAGCGCGTTAATCGGAAGAGGACGGGAAAGGAGAGACAAAGGGGTGGCGCAAGGACCTGCCGGACGGTCGCCGATCCGGTCTCGTAGTTTCTCAGGACCGTAACGACGGGATATCCGCTCTCGGTGATCCAGGGCGAGAGAACGTCCTTCAAGTCCCACCCGGCCGGCAACCGGGCCCTCGCCGCCGCTCCCATCGCCTCGAGGAACCCGTCGACGTCCGCGCTAGCGAAGCTCCTGCAAGGAAGGGGGACGGAGTCAGTTTCGCGGGCAGCGGGCACACGCGGAATGTCGGGCGTACTCGAAATACCCACCACCTGGAAACGAACGTGCCGATGCCGCTCCTAAAGGCGACGTCGCCTACCAGACCATGCAACATGCGCGACACGCATGCTCCTACAACCACGCTCCTTTTAACGCTCCTTTTAACGCTCCTTTTAACCGTATTAACGGAAGAGGGAAGCAACCGGAAAGGTAACGCGACTAATTATTATTAACCGATCGCAATCGAACCTTTCCCGTAGACATACTCGGCCGGGAAAATCTCCACGTCCTCGGGATGCACTTTCGCCCGAAGGGGTCTCGAGGCCGCAAAGGCGTCCTCGTCCATCCGGTCGGACTGAACGTTGGCGACGAAGGAACTGGAGCCGTCGATCGCGGGATCCATCTGAAAGCGAGGGTTAATCCAAAGTCTGGAGTTTTCCGGAAGAATCGGATGCCTCCGGATGCCTCCGGATGCCTTGCCTTTTCGAGGACCATTCGTTGGACGGAGGCGAGCGATCCCTCGAGGATCCACGCGTCGGTCCAGTTTTGCGCCCCCACGAGTCCTCCGAGCCACTGCTCCCCGACGAGTCGAGCCAGATCCTTCAAGGCCCGTTCCCTCGTCGTCGCGGGGCTCCGCTCGTTCGCGTAGAAGAGGGACTCCCTGAAACAGAGGGTGCCGGAACTCGGTCGTCTCGAGAGCGCTCCGGTACTCACTCGATGCCGATCAGCCCCGGAGCCCCGATGTCGGCCACGGGGGACCGGTGCAGGCCGACCAGGTCCAGCTTCGGCAGCGGGTAGTCGACCGAGAACAGCTCCTCGTAACCTCGCACCGCCAGCTTGGCCTTCTCGAAGAGATAGCTCGCGTTGCGCTTCGTCTCGGGGAAGGCCCAGGCGCGAATCGCCCCGCGAGAGGCTCCCAGGGAGGAGGTCTCGAGCAGCTCGAGGTCGGTCCGGAGGAAGGCCAGGCCGTGGGGCGGCAAGCGGGGCGCGTCCTCGAAGGTGTCCGTCACCCGGTCGTCGGACCTGCGACAGGAAGGGAACGCGAGGACGGGAGTCGACCGCCGTCTCCTTCGGGGGCCACTTACGACGCCCTCGTGCTCTTGACGGGCATGTTCGAGAGGACGGTCGACCCCCGGTCGCGCGTCACGGACAAGGAGAAGTTGGCTCGCAGTCTCTGGTCGTCGAAGAGGGGAAACGCTCGGCGAGCGCCGATCGGCTTCAGCCGGCTCACCAGGGTCCACCTGCAAGAAGGGAGGAAAGCCGGGAGCGGACCGGTGCCGGCACCGAGCGCCGGGCGCCGGGCGCCGGGCGCCGGGCGCCGCTCCGCCTCACCTGGGGCTGCCGCCGAGGGCGAACTCGCCGTAGAAGACGCCGCGTCCGAGCACCGGCGCCTCGTACCGGATCTCCAGGGCGTAGGAGCCGGGCCCGAGCGGGCGCTCCGGATAGAGGACGAGGGTCTCGCTCGCTGCGTCGGTCTCGTGGCGGATCAGCCCGACCGGCCTGCCGGTGGCCCCGAGTTCCCTGTCGTCCCTCGACGTCGTAGGATGGAACGGTCCGGATGAATTGGATGATTCGGGCAAAGTGGTTGATAGCGATGAATTATTGGACAAAGGTGTCTCGGTGATGTCGCCGTTGGACGGTGTCGCCAATTCCGACGATGACGCGTCGACGATTTCCGGACTCGTTGTCGCGGACTGCGCGGGGCCTACGACGGGAAAATAATCCCGACTAATTGGACGAGTACTTCCGACGATCTCGACGGTTACTCCATCGCGAGTAAGTATCTCGATCGTTAACCGATCGGGATATTTTCCCTGGGTCGCGGGGTCCCCTTTACCGTTCTCCGGCGTTTCCGATCCCGCGGAGGTTTCCATGGTTCCTGGAGTCGCTTCGCTCGTCGAGTCGGCCTCCCGTCTCCGTCTTCTCGGACGCGTCGTGTTTTCGGGCTCCACGGGATTCAAGTCCAGTAAGGCGTATTTCGTGGCGGTCAGGTTAATCGCGTTCAGCACCACTTTGTCCAGCGCGCCGGGGCCGTTGTATCGAAATTCGACGGTCACTCGACCCTCGAGCCCGGTGACCCGGAAATTCTCGACGAGCGGCGTCAGCTCGACGACGTACCTCGAGGGCTCGACGCCCGGCGATATGGAGAACCTCGGAGGCTTTTCCTCCTCGACGGCATCCTCGCCTCCCGCGGCGTCGCGAGTCTGAGAAACGAAAGCATGGCGAAGGGAGTCGCGAAGGGAGTCGCGACGCCACCCACCTCTCTGCCGGGGAGCGACGAGACGTAGGCGCCCAGGTATCCGGCCAGGAGCATCCCCAGGACGAAGAGGAAGACGATCAGCGCTCCCGTCTTGGCCGTCAGCAGGCATCCTTGCTTCCTCGGCCCCTCGTCGTTGAGGTCGCTCGCCGTGAACTCGGACCGGCCGCCGGCGATCTGCGCCATGGTGGCGGCTGCGGGTCGCCGATCGAGAACCGACGGACCGCGGCCGGCGAAGGAGATTACGTTATCGAGGCATTTCCGTCGTTAATCGCCCCCCTCCCCGAGAGGGACGCGGCCGGAGCGTTTTCGCGTTTCTCTCCGTCGAGAGAGCCTTGCAACCTCGCCTTGGAGCGCTCGTTGGAGCGCTCGTTGGAGCGCTCGTTGGAGCGTTCCTACGTGCGGATTCCTTGCGCGCGTTCCTCGGAACGATCATTCGTGAATGCGTTACGCAATCAAGGCTACGCGCACGTTTCGTTACTTATATTATTTACGAATTACGCGCTCACGACATCACGGTCGCGACTCGTATCGGCGATTCCTCCTTCCCGTCGCTTCGAGGCGAGCCGTCGTATTTAAAAGCCATTCGGTCGCTCGGGATGCGCGCCACGGACCGACTCGAGGAAAATTGGAAAAAAATGAGAAATCTCAGAGGCGATAAAGTAGGGGAACAACGTCGCGATTTGTCGTCGAGTCGTAAATCGATTCTCCGGGTCCATAGGAGCCGATAAATTAAAATCGAGTCACGCGAGTTGCCGAGTTCCGCTTTTGGAACGAACGCAAGCGCGGACCCCGCGATCGACCATCGATCGAAACCGTCGCGCCCCGAGAGATTGGCTCGATCGCGCGGAATCCGAAACGAGGACCAAACGCGCGCGCAGTCGAATCGGAAAGGTTCTCGGATGAGGAGCGAAAGTAATCAAAAAGGGAGGACTCACAGTTCCTCCGGGCCCAGGGCTGCCAGGAGGTGACGGACCCACGCCTCATCTCGGTCGGGCTTCGGGCTTCGGGCTTCGGGCTTCGGGCTTCGGGACGATCCTGGGACCCACCGAGGAGAGGAGCGCGACGTGGCGTCCAGGTGGAGCGCAATTAAAGCCTCTCGGGCCGCGTCGCGCCTAGACGGGCCCCGACCCCCACCAGGGAGCTCCGCGCCGAGGTCGGTCCGGCAGGTGCCGGGATTTCGTTGCATCCGGAACCGGCTGATTGGCCGTCGACGCCGATTAGGCGCTCTCGCGCTCTCGCGCCCGAACTGCCGGAATTGGATAATGGAGCAAACTGGCGAGGCGGGAATCCGGCCGATCGCGCGGACCCTTTTCCTCCTCGGGGCTGGCTCCTGGACGAGAAACCCCGACCCGGCAGTCCTCGGGTGTCCGCTCGCGAGGGAACCAGCTCTCCGAGTCTCCACTCGATCGACCTCTTCCTCCTCCTCCTCCTCGCCATGAGAGCCGCGGTCTGCCTGCTGGCGGTCCTGGTGATCGGCTCGCAGGGCCCGCCGGCCCTCTCGAGCCCCGAGGTACGTTCCGCGCCCTCTCGACCCCTCCCGGTTGTCACCTCGTTCTCGACGTCCTTTAGCCAGGGGACCGCGAGCGCCGCAGCCTGGACCTCGACGGGATCTTCCAGCAGATGGGGCAGCTGCGCAACAAGCTGCCGGGCGTCCAGATCCCGACGCACTACCGGCTGGAGATCCAGCCGCACCTCGAGGAGGCGAGGTTCACGGGCCGCGTCCGGATTCGGATGAAATGGAACGACACGGCGAGCAGCATCACCCTGAACGCGCACCCCGACCTCGAGATCTCGAGCTCCGACGTGGCGGTCAAGTGGCTGCCGCCGTGGGAAACGTTAGTCCGCTCGAATTCCCCTCTTGGCCCGGAAACGACGGGAGAGACCGACTCTGCTTGCGTTCCCTAGGGAGGCGAACGGGGCGACCGTCGACCTCCGGGTCGCGAGGGCCGAGCGGCGCTCCCGGGGGTCCTCCTCCGTCTACGTCGTCGACCTGGAGCAGATGGTGCGGAACGGCAGCACGACGGAGCTCGATCTCGCCTTCCAGGGCAGGGTGGCGACCAACGAGACGGTGGGCCTCTTCCGGGGCGAGTACACCGACGCGGAGGGAGCCAAGCGGTAAGTTGGCGCGAGTACACCGGCGCGGGAGTCCGCTCCGTTCAAGTCGATTTAACCTCTAGGTACTTCGCCGCGACCTACTTCCAACCGAACCACGCCTCGAGGATGTTTCCGTGCTTCGACGAGCCCGTCTACAAGGCGATCTTTCGGCTGAGCGTCGTCCGGCCGAGAAACGCGACCGTCGTGTCGAACGCGGAGCTGGAGAGCAGCACCGAGGTGTAAGTCGGGTCGATCCGGGCCGAGAGTCGCCTCGATCGCCTTTCCCCACGAGGACTTTCCTCCTTTCCCAGGCCCGGGCAGCCGGACGCGGTCAGGGACACCTTCGCCGAGACCCCGGCGATGGCCACCTACCAGCTGACGCTGGCCATCTCCGAGCTGGAGCGCGTCGAGTCCGCGGGGGTGGTTCAGGGTCCCACCAGGATCGGAGTCTGGGCTCGCAGGAGCTTCGCGCGAACGGCGAAGGGCGTGCTCGGCAGGGTCGTCGACGTCGTCGACTACTTTCGTCGGTACTTCGACTCTTCCGTGGGAGTCCCGAAGCTCGACGTCGTGGCTCTGCCCAGCTACGCCTCGGTCAAGCGCTCCAACGGTTGGGGCTTGGTGATTTTCAAGTACGACCGTTAAATTAATTGAATCAATTGAATTAATTTTCGACCACCTACGTTTCGTCGTCTTCCCCAGGGAGAGCGACTTGGAGACCTCGTGCTATTGGCAACTCGCCCACGAATTGGTTTACCAATGGATCGGCCAGCTCGTCACGCCCTGCCGGTGGACCGACGTTCAGTACACGAAGGCCTTGAACGCCTTCCTGGCGTCCATGGCCGCCCTCGACGTAAGTACGCCGACTGGCCGATCGTCCTCGCGACCAACCGATCCGCCCTTCGACTAACCGATCCGCCCTCGTGACCGCAGCTGAATCCGGAGGAAGTCGACGGAAAGTGGCCCATGACCATGCTCTACTCCCTCTACTACGAATACGCCGGAACCTACCCCTTTTCCAGAGTTGCCGGGATGAAGAACAACGTCGACTCCGCTAAGAGTAAGCCAGGCCTTGGACCCGCTCGTCCCAAGAAATCTCCGTTAGATCTCTGTCTCTCCTTTCGTTTCAGCCGAGCTGGTCTTCCGAATGCTGAACCTCACGCTGCGCGAGCACGGCTTCCGGGAGGGGACCCGCGGATTCGTTCGCTCCTACTCGAACAGGTACGAAATCGGGCCAAGCCCGAATCGCCGTCGGTCTCGAGACCGGAGTCGTGCCTTGGAGCCTAACGACGCGATAACGCCGCTCGCCCTCCATATTTACGAGCCGATAGACGCCGAGGTGGCCGCGTTCGCGCGACCCTGAAATCGGACGGGAGAACCTCGGCTTCGAGATCCGTCGAGCGGGCCATAAATTCGACCGAGAACGGGCTTCGCGATAGACGCCTGACGTAGAGGCTCGGAAAGAATTTCAAAGCGGTGGCGCGGAGGCGCGGAGGCGCGGAGGCGCGGAGGCACGGAGCCTAACGACCGTCCGGTCTCGCAGCTCCGGATCGGCGTCCGACCTGCCCAAGTGCTACTACATGGAGTCGATCCTGGACGAGCTGTACAAGTGCCGGCACTGCTACGGACCGTTCCAGGACGTGGACGTGCACGACATTTTCCGGACTTGGACTACGAGAGACAGGCTTCCGCTGGTCACGGTCACTCGCGATTACGAAACCGGAAGCGTGAAATTGAACCAAGTAAGTGGAGACGCAATCGCCTCGATCGTTGCTCGTCGGGGCGATCTTCTCGCGGTGATAAAGGCCGCGTCGCACGGAGATCCATTTTTCAGACGGTGTATCTGAGGAACGCGCCTCCTCCGACGATGGACAAGATCTCCGGGTATCGGTGGGACATTCCGATCGTGGTGGTCACTCAGGACCAGCTCGGTTTCGACACATTCGGACCGACGCGGTGGATGACCGATCGGGACATGTCCTTGCGGCACGTCGCGGAGAGTCACTACTTCCTCATCGTCAATCCGGAGGAAATTGGTTCGACTCCTTTCCAGTTGTTTCGACCCCGGGGAACGCGCTCTCGTTCGCTCTCGTTCGCTCTCGAGGCGGACCCCGTAGTTAATCTCGGGTCCCCTTCGACGAGCTCGCGGACGTCTCGTTCCTCGAGTGACCGCGGTGACGCCTTTCCGCAGGGATGTTCCCCGTTAACTACGATCCGAAAAATTGGGAGATGTTGATCGAGTACTTGCGGGGTCCGAACCGTACGACCATCCCCGAGATAACGAGAGCCAAGCTGCTCCACGATTCCTGGAACTTGGCGTACGCTGGACAACTTAGCTTCAAAATCGCCCTGGACATGACCCTCTTCCTCAGGCAGGAAAGGAACCACGTGGTCTGGCAAGCGGCGTTCACCATGTTCGACCACGTGGGGCGGCGAATCGAGAGGCCGGACGTCTACGCAAAGTTCGAAGTGAGTATCGACGTTGCTTCCGCCCGCTCGCTGCCCGTAAGCGCCGTAAGCGCCGTAAATGGAAACGATCTCGTTTTCGAATCGTCAGACTTACGCCGGCAGTCTCGTCAAGCCTCTCTATGACGAATTGGGCGCGGAGGCCCGGCCCAACGATCCGTCTTGGAAGATCCACTTGAGAGGTCTGGCGAAATTCCTCCTGTGTCTCGTCGGCTACGAGCCCTGCGTCCGAGAAGCTCGCGAGCAGTACAAGAAATGGATGACCGACGCAGAGCCCGACAAAGGAAATCCGTCAGTACTCGAACGCTCCGTCCGACCGCGGACAACCGTTAACGGTTTACCGGATACGTCTGGCCGCAATTAATCGATGTCGATGTACTTGTTCAGAGTGGCGAACGAGTTCATTTGCCCCGTCTTCAAGTGGGGCACCGACGAGGAATGGGAGTTTGGGTTGCAACGAGTCATCAACTTTCCAAGCGGCAGTCCCGAAAGGAAGCAAAGCGAGCGCACGTACCTGCTCAAGACTTTGGCCGGATGTCCGAGAGACTCCCAAAGGATCAAAAGGTACCCGAAAGAGCTCCCCCGGAATCCAGGTTCCTTTTTAACTTTTATTGGCATTTTTCCAGAATCTTGAACGTGGCCATCCTGGAGCGCCGGAGTAACTTCACGGATTCGGACGTCCTCCTGATCTTCAGCATGCTGACCGGAAGTCCCGTAGGATATATCACTCTTTTCAACTACCTTACGGATCATTGGAACATCGTCAAACAGAAATTCGAAAATAAGACTCACTTGTGGGACGGTATCGTCAGTTCCGCGACATCCTGGTTTAACACCGAGGAAGGATATCGCATGGTATCGGAATTGTACGCAAGCCGGGAGCACGAGTTCGGATCGGCGACGAGCATCGTCCAAGAGGCTCTAAAGAACATCCAACAACAAATGCACTGGGGGAAAAAGAATTTGCCAGTTATCGACTCCTGGCTTACCGAGAATTTGAAGGACTTAAACGTTACCACCGTCGCCGCTGCCGCTGCCGCTGCCGCAAGCAGTCCTGACAGCGGTACCGCTATCACCGCGGCTACTCCCTCGACTACCGTCGTCGCCGTAACCCCTCTGGCAGGATAGCCTCCCAAATTATCCAGAGGAAAGGTCAAGCTATTTCACCTGGGTCCAGGAATTATCCGGATTGCGTCGTTTCACGATTCAAGGATTTCCGATCGCCATCGGGAACTCCCTTGAGCCAAGGGTCCAACGGCCGTGGGAAACTGACATCGTAGACTTTCACTCCTTTCGGGTTAGGCGATATTCTATAATATCTAGTGAATAAACATCCTGTAAATTACCTCCTCTCCGAGGGGCTCGTTGTAGGTAATTGCAAGGAGCAATGTATAGCGTTCTCAGCGGTATGTATTCTTTGTAACCATTTAGAGATGAGAAAACTGTTTCCCTTTTCCCTGCTGGCCGAACGGTGTGTACGTTTCTTAAATGTCTCTGTCCATCCTATGGTGAATAAATCAAGGAAACTGAGTATGTCCTTATCGAATGAACGAGTCGACCACGAATCAGAGCTTCTAAAAGTTGATAGCGAAATCCACGGTTCCAACCAAACTACGAAAATTAATTATTAATGGCCGATGACGGACTTTCATCGACTATACGGTCACGATAGCTTCTTATCTTTTTTTAACGAATCCGTCATACAAAAACAACGTTCAACCAATGAATGACAGGGTGTTTTGTTAATTACAACTGTATATTAATAGGTTTTATATACACTTCCCTCGATCGACGAGATATAGTCTATAATGGAGCAATTGTTCGTGGACACGGAACTGTCGTCTTATTCAATTGAACCATTTCGTTCCTCCATATTTCTCGACCAGCTTGCCGAGATGTTTAATTTGCTTAATCGTCAGAGAGTCAGAGTATAGTCTTTTTTGTACCAACACAGCCGCTTTATGCAGATGAGGTAAACGAAGACTAAATGCTTCTTCGATCAGACTTTCTGCTTGCTTCTGTAAATCATTGGGCACATTTTCCCGTGATTTGCATCTGTTCGTTTCGGCATTGGCTTTCCGCAAGTGTGAATTTTCGCAGAAACTTCTCTTTCTTCTCACCGACATATTACTCGTGTACGGCCGAGTCTGTTGATTGTCGTTGTTGTAACGCGTAGCCTCGATTTGCGATTGACGATTGTTCGTTTCTTCTACGGGAGACCAGTCTTCGGTAAAGCTTGCGTCGGAAGCAAAGTTTAGCCGACGATCCCAAAGCCTGCTATCACCACTCGCGACATCTTTTGGAAAGTTAAAGAAAAAGTGACCCCGATCGGACAAAGATGGCTCGTGATGGGTACCAACGAGAGAAAAGTCATTTTTGTCGATATGATTTTCCAATTCACCGGGTTCAGTTTCCCGGTGAAAATATTCATCGGTCCGAGCACGTTGATAGAAATCATTCACATCGTAATCGTTATCATCAAGAGTCACCGCTGACAAACTAGTAGAAGGATGCATTTCGGATAGACGTACATTGTTCGGCATGTTCACGTGATCCGATTCAAGATTTCCGACGTCAGGTGACACGGAACCATGGGAATTCAAGGTTGATCGAGGTTTTTCGACAATTGGACGTACAGAATCGATACCAGAGAACATGGAAACGCCGTGGCCGTTTGAAGAGTATCTTGAATTTTCTCGTTTCTTTGACACCAGTTGTGATTCATTCCGTCTCGTCGACATTTTCCTTTGCGCTTTTTCTCCTTTACTCTGACACTTATCTTCCGTGGAGTAGAATGCCATCATCCTAAGTACATTGGATGGAAGATGAGGCGAGAATACTTTGATGTAGAGCAATACTATGCTCAGATAGCTTTGAGCAGAGACCAGTTGTTCTTGCGATCGTTGTAAAACCTGCACCGATTTTCGAAATCGGGCGATATACCCACGGCCCTGTGGCACAAGGGGACTCCCGTATAAGGTCAGAAGCAGCTTAGATTTAAGTTCCTTCAGGTTGCTTGCCACTTTCTTTCGAGAATTATCCGTATGTTTGTTACCCTGCATTTGTTTTTGCGTATCTCTGATCCGCTTCATGATCTCACGAGCATCACCAAAGTTCAGATATAATTTCTTTATTTCATCTCTAAGAAACTTAATCAAAAGCAGTCTATCTTTTGGCAAATCCTTAAAAGCGAAGCAATCCTTATCTTCGTCATCTAGCGCCAACCACATACGCAACAGCTTCCTCAAGTGTTTACGACATGGCTTCAGAGTCTTTGCATAGATATTTACCTTTTGTTTCGCAATCTTTCTGCACCGCGTTATCTTAACCTCGAAGGGAAACACGTCCTTAAGATCCTCTAAGAACGTCGGTACGATGCGCCCTTCGAAGAATCCACTCGAAGCGAAATGGGTCAAATTGAACGCCTTGCACTCTTTCGGCAACGCGGAACAAATCCCGCACTGGTAAATTACGTTAGCCTCCCTCGTCTTTGCGGGCTTTTTCGGAACAGCCGTAGTATTGGAAGATCTTGCCGCCGACGCGTCGTCCACGGTACCACTGCCTTGACTTTCTGGCAATCGTAGACCCTCTACATTTGTAGTATCGGCAGGCGGTGGTGGATGAGCACAACTACTGTCTAATCCTACGCTAACGGCAGAGGACTCTTCGTAATTCGGACCGTCGGTATAGTTTGTCACTGCGGTGGGGGTTTGAAAATGCTGCGACCACCGATATTTGAAGCACGCCGTGGATTCGTGACCATTCTGTGCACAGTTGCAACAACTGAGGAGATCGGTCGGTTTCATCACCATCATTAAGTTCGTCGGTACATTTAGCTCCGAGGGTTTCGTCTGAAAGGAATATATTCAAACCATTTCATGGAAACATTCATTGGTTGTGTAATTCGCTCGAACGTGTAAAAGTCCTCTTTAAAGAAATGTTTTAGAAATGACATGCACAACGTCGGTCTTTTAAATGTTTAGAAAGAACTGCATCAGAGAAAATAAGACGCACTGTTTTACGGTTTTCAATACTTGAGAAATTGACTCGTAACTATTTTAATTTATGTAACATTGTCAAGTAGGGCTAATCTTATTTTCCAGTTTGTTTTAACGAAAAATTTACCGTCTGATGATATCTCCTCCAGAGATCGGGACATCCAGTGACTTTATGACCTTTCGAATTGCACATGGTGCATACATACGCCCGACACGAGTAACAGGTTGCGGTAAAGGATTTCTGCTTTCTGCCGCACTGGAAAAATGATCAATTAATTGTACACGTCTAATATTTTCAACCGATAATTTTGATAAATCCTTACTGTCAAACACATCTTTTGTGGACAGCGGGGGGCTTCGTGGCCCGTATTACCGCATATGCGACATAGAATAGCTTTATGTATTCTGTCGCCAATGCTTTCCTGATGGTAAATACGTGAACGGTTCGGCATATCCCAGTATCTTCCTTTTCTAGAGGATCTAACGAGATCATCATCCAGAATTACCCACATTTTTGGATCCTCTATACAATACATATTAAATGACTTTTTATTCCTAAAATATATTTAAATGTTCATCGAGTGAAAAGGGATGACTTACTTGACATGTTCTGCCGAAGTTTTTCAACGTCAAAATCTTCCCCACCCCAAGAATTATCGTAAAATTCTTTTCTACTTGACGCTTTGTTGGAATACCGTCGCAATAAGTTATATCTTACAGGCTTGTCATTTGTAATACATTTTGAAACCAATGTCTCCTGTTTGTTTCTTGCCGCACAGAGAGACACATTTGTTGCTTCGTCGTCGATGTATCTTGCCTGCTTGTTACTGTTTTCATGGGCACTTAATGATTCAGGTCTTAATCTTTTCTTCCTTCCCTGCGAGTCTTCGTTGGATGTAAAAGCCTCCTCGATATGTTGAATAACATCGATTACTCTCGGTGTATCCGTTTGTGCTGCTTCGTCATACTCTATATTTTCTGTAAGAGAATTATGACTAACTTCATTTGATGCGCGATCAGGGTTTAAGTTCGCAGGAACCTCGTCATGTGATTTTTCAGTTTTCTCCTGTTTTCTGCTCCTTGAAGTCTTAAGATTCTCACTTTGCTTCTGAGAAGTTTCCATACCGATACACCAACTGTCGTTCCATGCATTCAAATTACTTTTTGCTCCAGCTTCGCCTGGTCCATAATTTTCTATAATAGTGTCATCTATGTATCTTTGCCTGAATGTAACCTCTTTACCGAGTTCTCTTATTTCATTCAAGTTAAAAGCACTTTTCTGAACTTCTGTGCAGTTCAATATTAGATCTTGGGCCCCGTGCTCCTTGTCATTGGTGCTTCCTGAATAGGATGACACTTCAAGATTTATAGCTTTCTCTGAACATACTATTATTCCATCGTCGGAAGTACTGTCCGAAGTATCTCCTTTGGTAATCGCTGCTCGAGAGTCACATTTATCAGATAACGCAAATTCAGAATTTTCCGATGAACAAGAAGATTCACTGGAACTGTCAGAGCCCGACGACAGCTCATAAGAATAAGGTATAGTTTTCAATAAGCCTGAGGTTTGACCTTTTTCCCCTGATTTGTTGGAATTACTATAACTTTTATTATCGGAGTCACTGCCTAAGTCATTATCGGAATCATTGATATCGATTAGAGGAGGTTGTGGTTTAGGTGGCACTGGTACTTCTATAATAGAATCCTCGGAATCTGATTGATTAAAATCAACATTTTCATAGTCTCCCATTTTTACGTGCATAGAGTGCTTGCTCGAAGAATATGAGGAGGTACTTATTGAATTAATAAGTATGTTATCATGTTCACAACTTTTCCAAGATTTCAAATCTTTTAGCATTCCCTTAGACTTTACTTCTTTAGATCTTGAGGTGCTTATTTTCTTTCTTGAAACTGTCTTATTTGATTGTTTTTCCAAATCCACCGTTTTAATACTATGACATTGTCTCGTAGATGAAGGCTTTTTAAATGCAGTTAGATTATCGGTGTAAGTTTTACATGCAACAGACTTTGTAGCAGGCAATGTAGTATTATTTCGAGCTTCGCTCGTATTCGTACCAAACGTTAGGTTTACTTTCCTTCCTGACGATTTGGTTTGCCATTTGATATTTAAATTCTGATTTTTTTTTTTAATCGATTCTCCAGTCCTAATGTTTTTTCTAGACTGTACCTGCGGTTCCGTGACAGGAGGTAATACGCTATCTTTAATCAAAGGTTTACATTTTAATCTAGCACTAATAGGCAATTCAACGGAGCATTCATTATTGAATATAGGTTTTTCAATAGCCACTGTTGGAAGGGGACATTTGGTAACATCCCCCAAAGTAGGATTTTTAGCAAACGTCACTGGAACGTAATTTCCAGTGACTTCTTTTTCATCGCATGTTACCGACGAATAATATATTTCGGCATACAACCTTGCTTCCAGATCGTTACGACTCTCATTGCCGTCATCAAATTCTCCACTATCAGCCTAAAAATTACGATATATGAATTAAAAACCTGTCGAGGCAATGTAATCCATGACACTTTCATCGCGTAGCAAAATGCTATTGCCTTGGTGATCAAGGTAGAAAGCGCAATTTAACTAATGACAAAAAGTTATTAAAAACTGTAGTTCTAAGCAATCTGCCAAAGAAAATTTAGATACTTGAAAAATCAAGCTCCAAGCAGGAAAACAATTATGTAAACAGAAGGTTAGGTTAACATTTCCTGCCCTCACGGTTAGTTCTCGTTCATTTTATTATACCGTTCCACTAATATAATTAATCGTCATCGCAACGCTTATACGCTAGATTTATGTGCACATACCCACATTCGTAAGACCCATCCACTGCTTCTCTCGAAGGCAAACTTGTAACACCTAACAACTGCAGCAGTAGCACATGGCGCGACTAGGTCAGAAAAACTGAACGTCGCCTCCAGTTGCTTCTCCGTAGAAAACAAAACTTTTAGACGGGGAACTCTTAACTATTCTCCTTTAATAATCAAATCACTGAAAGCAGGGTTGAGCAATTTCGCGATTCTCGAGATTGTTGACGTATAGTGTACATAAACTAAGTAGTTTACCGTAGAAAATTGTAGAGAAGCAATAAATTACGTTTCCAATATGAAGAATGTCCCAGATGTACAATACACGACTTCCGCTAGGTTATAAACGCTTTTGGTACACATCATATATATATACGTAACAATTTTGAAGGAATACTTAATTTGGCGCTGGCATTGAAAATTCTTTCGACTTAAACCTGTTTAATATTAAATTTCTAATTCGATTTGTTGCTTTCTATCTAGAAATAAAAGGGCGTAACGTACTATACGTTCGCGTGAGAAACTAGGGACGTATTACACGTGTAACATATATGTAGAAAACTACGGGTACCGAAGGTGCTGCCCTCGACGTTAGACAATACGTCGAGAGGCGCGATCAGGCGCGATCAGGCGCGATCGGAAGGAGTAGGAGGGAGCGGCGGATTCCTACTAAACCCGGGCTGACCCGGGCCATGGCCACTCTCCACTACTTTCAGAGATGAGTTGGGAGATTCACGGGAAGGATCGAGCGACCGCGTCCTGTGCGACCTCCGGTGGAGGATGCAGATGGCTAATGCACTTGCCACCTGTTACAACTCTGGGCAGCCCGAGAACCGGCTGAAAAAGCGATGAACTCCTCACAAAAACTCCAAACCCTGTGTCTCTCAATCTCCCAGCTCCTCGACTCGCGATCAACTTTGACGAGTCCTTCGTTTTAGTTCGGTCGACGGGCGCCACCGTCGAGAGCATCCGGCTAGTCTCGCAGCGTTCGTTTCTACCGGTGTACGTACTAGATGCGTACATACGTCACGCATTAAGAAATGCATGGAATGTACGTATTGAAATCGGACCATCCAGGGAATACGGGGAATGCGTACGTCGACGGATACACGTGGAACGGAACGCGCTCAATGGCACGCATCGAGGAGCACTCGACGTCGGCTACGCTCTCCTGACACGCATCGCGCTCCAGTTTGCTCCAGTTCGAGACCGGGCGCGATGAGTGAAAGGCGGTTTCGGAACGCTCGAAGCTCGCTCGAAACGTCCTCGCATCAGTCGGCTTTCCGATTTTCCCGGACGCGCTCCCTCGTTCTCGTCCGTCCTTGCCTCGACGAACCGAATCGTCGTCGTATTATTGATACGTTTTCCTTCGATTCGAGTTACCGGAGATCCGAACGATCGTTTTGAATATTTTGCTCACATTCCGCTCGGATTTCCAGGTTCTTGTATATATGTATACCGTACGTAGCGCGGCCAGCGTTAACTACGATTCGGATAAAAAGAAAATCGGTGTTACGCGGTTATCGCACGGTTCTCTTCGATGTCGCTCGTTTGACCGTCTTCGACGCGAACAAAGTCGGTTCTCGAAGCTCGCACCTGTTGCCGTCGTCCCGCTGGGTCGGAACGTCTCGAAGAGGAAAGACGATCCAAGGCCACCGGCGCCCGCAAAAAAGAAGGATCGTTTCGGGGCAGAGCATCCAAGATGGGCGTATCGAGTTCCAAGGACTCGAGGGAATCGTATTCCGAGTCCACGCGTCGGGCTGTCAAAACGTGAGTTTTCCTTTCCTTGACGGCGCTCTCGGACTTTCTGCCACGCTTTCTCTCCGTTCCTTAATCATTCCGAAGACGCGAACGTCGATTCGTAATTATTATTCCAATCGATTTGGAGGTTTTTTCGATCGTTGAAGCTTCCTCGAAGAAACGATACGCTATTGTATGGACCGTGCGCGGTACTTAATGCTGCCGCGCAACGATTACGAGCTCGAAACAACGGTCCTTTGCCAGCGGACGGAACGTTCGGATCTGGGGCTAATCGGGGATATTACGATAACCTCGCGTGATATCGCGCACCGGACTCGCGTGGCGAGTCGCGTGGCGAGTCGCGTGCCGCCTCGATTCCGAATACAAATTCTTACTTTTTATATTCATCACGGTCTCGGTCTTATCGCGTCCACGGATCAACGGGAAAACGACCCCGAGTCTTTCGCTCGTTTAACGAAACGTTTCATTTTTCTTTCTCTTTTTCTCTCGCCGGCTCGGTCCCGAGCCAACGTCTTTTGCGGAATCGATCCCACCTTCGATAACCTCGATAAAGTAAAACCGCGTCGATCCTCGTTTCAACTTTCGCGACCCTTTAAAAACGGATTTCGCGGCGATTTGGGAGAACCTCGTTTCTCAACTAAAATCCCGCTTGCGCGCTCAATTATTTTTGTACGGAAAAGCGCGTCGACGTCCAATCGATATAGAAAAGATCGACCGACCTCCCGGCTGGTCGAAGCGGTCCGCCAACCCCGCCAGCGGTTTAAACGCAAACGCCCTCGTAAACGGAGCTTCCTTCCTTCCTTCCTTCCTTCTCTTCCGAGCGTTATCGCTTCGTTGTCGCTTCGTTATCGCTTCGTTATCGGCTGTCTCCTCGCGGACCGTCGCCCCACTCGGGGGAGGCGCGGGAACTCCGCCGTTCCTCGGTATCGGCAGATAATTTGCGAAAATTTTCCGAGCGGAAACTTTTTCCCCCGAGACCGAGTCGTCGTTCTTCGATGACCGCTCGTTAATCGGGGGCGAAGCGATTATCCGCGTCGTCGAGTCGAGGCAAGCCACGGTTCGTCCGACGTTTCAAAGGACGAGAGAAAGACGCCCACGAAACGAATCCTTGGGAAATTCGAGCCAGACGGACGCGACTCGGAAGGGACCTTCGCGAGACGAGGAAATATCTCTTTTCTCGAGCGAGACCGCGTTACGTAACCGAGCATCGGGAAAAAGCGTGACCGGTCCTTCCGGAGCGCGCACGCGCCGAGCGGCCGCCACGCGCCACCCACCGAGGTCGGAAAAAGTCAGAGCAGTTGCGTCGAAGCCGAGACATGTCGTCGGTGCCGGGGATCGCGTCGAGGCGCCTCCTGCTGCGAGCGGGTCCGCGCTGCCGCGCGAAAACTCGCCTTCGCAGCGACGGCGGCCTGGCCGAGGAATCCGCCCCCGCTCGCCAAAGGTAAACGACGAGGCTTGGAGGTTACGGTTACGCCTCGGCGCCCGTCCATGTCCTCCCGATATCTCGCGGCAAGTTTTTCCGAAATGACGACCCTCGCGAGGGACGGGAGCCGCGAAGGTCGTCTCGACTCTTTTTCATTTGGCGACGGTCCGCCGAAGGAGGCGTCTCCGCGCGGAGACGCCCGAGGTCGCCCGAGGTCGCCCGAGGTCGCCCGAGCCCGTCCGGCGCGTCGCGAAAACGGCCGAGCTCCCGTCGGGCCCGGTCGAGCCGCACTCGCCGCACTCGCCGCCCGAACGGCCAGTAAAGGACCCGTCCGCTCGTTCGCAGGATCCGGACCGTCAGCCAGACCGACGCCAAGCGAGCCGAGATGTCGAGCCTTCGGCGGGACCGATTGGGGCAACGCGGCCCCGGCGACGCCGTCTGCTCCGGCCTGCTTCGCGGGTTGGACCACATTAAAAATCCTCATTTGAACAAGGTAAGTTCGACCGCGGCCGAGCCCTCGGCCGATCGGGGGCGGCGCCCTCCGCGAGTTCGGGGGTAGGAAGCCTATCGATCGCCGCCCCCCTGGCCGGGTCGAGAACCCCGGCAACCGTTTCCACGGGAGGTTGTTGTTTGCCATGGGCCATGGGTCGGGAGAGGAGCCGAGGAGTCGTCGGGACCATGGAAAGAGACTGGTGGACCCTGGTTCCCTCCCGAGAGGACAAGCCGCCCCCCATACCGGAAGCGCTCCTCGCGATCGACGGAAGGGTACTCGTTCCTTCTCCCCCCGTCCCCCGCTTCTATTCCTCGACGCGAGGGCGGACGCAAGTAGTGAAAGCAGCGACGGGGGGCGACGGGCGACTAATGAAATTTGCTTACGCAACGTTACCTCGGACCTTACCTCCGTCCACGTCAGCGGGGGGGGTCGCGGTATCGAGCGGGACATTTCCATGCGCGTACTCGGCGCGGGGTCAAGGTGGTGACTCTTTCAGGGCATGGCCTTCACGATCGAGGAGAGGCAGACCCTGGGGATCCACGGGCTCCTTCCGGCGGCCGTTAAGACGCAAGAGGAGCAGCTGGAGCTTTGCCGACTGAACCTGGACCGGTACACGGACGAGCTCTCCAAGTACATCTACTTGATCGGTTTACTCGTAAGCATCGGCGGACCGGCGCGGCGAGTCCATCGTACGTCTCTACCGATGCGCGACCGTCGCCTTTGCAGGACAGGAACGAGAAGCTGTTCTATCGCCTCCTGACCGAGAACGTCCAGAAGATGATGCCGTTGGTGTACACGCCGACGGTGGGCCTGGCCTGTCAAAAGTTCGGCCTGATTTACCGCAGACCGCGCGGACTCTTCATCAGCGTCCACGACAAGGGGCACGTCTACGACGTGCTGACGAATTGGCCCGAGCACGACATCCGGGCCATCGTGGTCACCGACGGCGAACGCATCCTGGGCCTCGGCGACTTGGGTGCTCACGGGATGGGCATTCCCGTGGGGAAGCTCTCCCTCTACACGGCCCTGGCCGGCATCAAGCCTCACCAGTGCCTGCCGATTACTCTGGACGTCGGGACCAACACGCAGGTGCGCCGCCCTCGGGTCGAAATCGCGGCGCCGTCGTCACCTCGTCCGTTTCTTTGCAGTCTTTGCTGGACGATCCTCTGTACATCGGTCACCGGCACGCGAGGGTCACGGGGAAGGAATACGACGAGTTCTTGGACGAGTTCATGAAGGCCGTGGTCAAGCGTTACGGGCAGAACACGTTGATTCAGTTCGAGGACTTCGGGAACGGCAACGCCTTCCGATTGCTGCAGAAGTACCGGAACGAGTACTGCACCTTCAACGACGACATCCAGGGCACGGCCTCGGTCGCGGTCGCCGGCCTCCTAGGGTCCCTTCGGATCACGAATACGAAGCTGTCGCGGAACGTCATCGTGTTTCAGGGTGCCGGCGAAGTGAGTCCACTCTCGATTCGTACCCCTCCGCCACGGCGGATACGTTTCCTTTTCTTCTGACTTCTGCCTTCTGGAGGCTGTCGGACGAAAAAACAAGCAATTTACGTTTCTAGGCCGCTCTGGGTATCGCCGAGTTGTGCGTCATGGCTATGAAGAAGGAAGGAACGAGCGACGCGGAGGCCAGAAACCGAATCTGGATGGTCGACTCGAAGGGTCTGATAGTTAAGAATCGTCCATCCGGCGGCATTACCGAGCACAAGCTTGCCTTCGCCAGGGACGATCCCCACTTGAGCACCCTCACGGAGGTCGTCAAAACCGCCAAACCGACCGTACTGATCGGCGCGTCCACGATCGGCGGGGCCTTCACGACCGAGATCCTCGAGGAAATGGGAAGGAACAACGAGAGACCCGTCATTTTCGCTCTGAGCAACCCTACCAGCAAAGCCGAGTGTACCGCGGAAGCAGCCTACGCGGCTACCAAGGTAAGGGCGAGTCGACGCGGTAGTCGTCACGAGTCCCGGATATCTTACGGTATCGATCTCCTTCTACAGGGCAAATGCATCTTCGCGAGCGGGTCGCCCTTCGATCCGGTAACCATCGACGGGAAAACTCTGACGCCCGGCCAGGGCAACAACGCCTACGTTTTCCCGGGAATCGCTCTCGGCGCGATATGCTCCGGGATGCGGTACATCCCCGAGGAGACCTTCCTCGTCGCGGCGGACGCTCTTGCCAAGAGGGTGAATGCCGATGACCTTGACAGCGGCAATCTCTACCCTCCGCTGCAGGATATTCCCAAGAGTTCGATAGTAATCGCCACGGAGGTCATGCACTATGCATACAAGAATGGTAATTACGTAATTATATACCTCCTCGATCTTGTTCCCGCGTTTTAATTAAAATGGGCTCCGAACGAGACGGTCCGCTTATTAATCCGGTTTACTTTAATTCGCAGGCCTGGCCACGTTACACCCGGAACCTGAAAGCTACGAGGCATTTATCAAGGCGCAGCTGTACGATACGTCGTACGCGTCGTCCGTGCCTCCGGTATATTCCTGGCCCAAGCTGTGATCGCGAGTTGATTTTTTTTTCTTTTAAAAAATGCTTACAGGGGTGCGCGCAAATTCGATCCCTTCAAAGACGCGATTGTCGCGAATATTTGCAAAAACGCTCGGGGAAAGAAAACGAAGCGTCGTTGAGACATTTGGTTGGGGGTTTGCTGAATCGTGTTCGCGCTCGCGGTGCGGGAGCAATCCGTGAACGGCAGGAATACGTACTCGTATCTATATGAATTACTTAAGTTGCATTAACCACGTGGAGGATGGTCTGGGATAAATCGTGCGGCAAGCTCCGTCGTGACGACGGCGGGGAGCCTTCTCTTTCGAGTCCGTATCGAAATTTCTACTTTTACGCCTGCTATTACGAGTTTCCAAGTTGTATCGAACGAATAAACTAGCGACCGTTATTTAAAACAAAGGTGTTTATTGCTAATCGAAACACTGTCGTGTCTAGTGAATTTTTCGTAGGCGTCGGTGCTCGCCCCTTGCCGCGTCGTTTCCGACACGCGGATCTCTCGCAAGGACGCCTTACTTAGTCGATATATAACTCGAAATCGGAGATGCAAAGTCCTAAGCGGACTCGATCCAGATGGACGTCACGAATCTTGCGTACGCTCGGCGCGTCGGCGGCGACGTATTTACACAGTGGAAAAAAAAAAGAAAAAGAAAGAAAGGAAACGGAAAAAAAAGATTTTAAGTATCGCGCATACCGCGGCATACGGGTACACCCCGATTCGCACACTTGGAACGAAACAATGTCCGGTTTCCCTTCGTTCGTAACCTCGTGTCCGAAAGCGACGCGCTTCCATAAAAGTGCCGTGGGGCGAACGTTGCCGCGTTCCCTCCGGCATACGAGTCCAACCGTCCACAAAGAGAGAGCACTCCTTTCGTTTCGATCACCCGGACCCGCTCGTCCGCGACACGAAACGTCTCTCCTCGGCCCCTGCGGGCTACCAAATGTACAACGGAGAAGCAGATTACAAGCTGCGATCAAGTTTACCTTTACCTTTACTCGAAACTTAGTCGCGCGCCCGCGCTTGCGTGGGTGTAGGTACGCGCGCGTCGAACGACATCGTGATAAAGTCAAGATAAAATGTACAGACGAGCGTTATATAAAACGTTTTACGATCGCGGGGACACGGTTACGCTTGACCGAGCAGACCCTGGGAGCTCCGTTCCCGGGTGTCCGTCCGGTGCGGAGGTCGGTCCCGCCCCTAGCTTCATCGAGAGAGCGAGTGCGAGCGCTCGTGGGTCTGCTGGCCGTGGTCGCCGGACGCCCGCGGGTCCGGCAGTCGCTGGGAAGGCGGAAGCGCCTCGAAGAAGGGGTGCGCCAGCGCGTCCTTGAGGGTGATTCGCTGGGCGGGCTCGTACTCCAGCATCCTTTGCATCAGATCGAACAGCTGCCGATGCTCCTCCTCGTCGGACAGCATGTAGCGCTGCGGGAGTGGAATCGCGATTAAGCGGAACGGCGCCGTACTCGTTCTTACGCTCTTGCGTTCTTTCGCAAGAAACGGTCGGAGTCGTCGAGGAATTCCGAGCAAAACTTACGTGCAACGGTTTGCAGTTGTCGCGGACGTATCTGCCGGCCGAGCTTTTGTCGTTCCAGACCAACTTGCCGTGGTAGAAGTACTTCGTCTTGGTCTTGCGCGCCATGCGAGTCGGGATCGTACCGAGTATGCGTTCCATCATCGCGAGGTGCTCGCGATTGTCGTGGGTTTGGAACAACGTGATGCCCAGGTAGATCTCGAATAGGATGCAGCCGATCGACCACACGTCGCAAGGTTGCGACCATCCTAATTCTAAAAGGTACAAAGGAGACGTCCCGTCACGTGGTACCGTCGATAAATTGCCGTAGCAAGGAGAACGGTCTTCGAGTTACTCGCCTAAAATGACCTCGGGGGCTCGGTAATGCCTCGTACTGACGATCGTACTGTGGTGCTCGTAATCGAAGGTGGCACTTCCAAAATCGATCAACCGAATATCCGTCCTCTTGACTTGGCGCACGTCCTTCCGCTTAAAGAGAAATAACTTTTTGAAACGCATTAGCCTGGGACGGCAACCGGCGACGACCGGCAGGGGCGCCAACGGAGTCGCAACCCACCGACCTCGCGAACCCCGATCTTACCTTTTTGCTGTTGTAACTCGTGTCGAAGTCAGAGTCCACGAAAAGGATATTCTCCGGCTTGAGGTCGGTGTGAGTCAATTTATTGTCGTGAAGAAACTTTACGGCATAGCAGAGCTGGTATCCCACGTGTCTCACGTGCTCCAGGGGGTACGGTTGGTAATTGTTGTCCTTCTGTAAGCGCAAATCGACCCAGCTATAGAGAAATCGATGATACGAGACGAAAGTCGCGCCAACGGTTTGCGGTAAACTTTTTGGACGGGGACCTCGCGTCTACAAAATCCATCCGACAAGATTTCTTACTGACCAGAAAGTCGAAGACGCTCAAGCCGAGCATCTCGAAGGCGATGCACATGTGGCCACGGTAGTTGAACCAGTCCAGCATCTTGACGCACAGGCTGCGGAAAGAAAGGAAAAGAAGAAGATTAGCCGATCGAGGCGAATCGCGCGGGGAGGAACGAAAACGGGGAAAGGGCAAAGAAGGGTCCGGCTTCCACGTTCGCTCGCTCGAGGCGGCCCCGTAGGCGGCCCGTAGGCGGGCTCTTGGCGGTTCCCTCTTCGGTCGCGGATACTAACTGTTGACCTTCCGGGTCCATGTTGGCGATCTTCTCCAGGGCGTTGACCTCGAGCTTCGCCGCCTCTCTGTACTTCTCGACGTTCTTGATGATCTTGAGGGCCATCACGTGATCCCTGAGCAACAAAGCGAGACGCGAGTTAGCGCGGGCTGGGTGCACCTACGCGTTCCGCTCGTCTCGCCCGGTCAATAAATCTCGGATGCACCTACGTATCGCTACGTATCTCGGGGCGCGATTCGCGATTTTCCTCGGATAGAACGCACGCGCCCGAACGAAGTGCAAGGTCGTCCTATTATTGCGAATACCGCCTTGCTCCTCCGGAGAACGGGGCCGAGCGAAGCGGTCCGCGGAAACGGAATCGAGTCTGGACCCCGTCCAACGTTCCCCGGGCCGGAAAGGGTATTCTTCCCGAAGCATCGACTCCGGGTTCGACGGGAAACGAAGAGCGCGAGCCTCGGCCGTAATTAGTTGGCCATCGGGCCGAAAAGACCGCGCGATAGGTAGAGTACATGATCTCGGAACTTACATCATCAAATCCTTAACCTTGACAACTTTCCCAAAAGTACCCTCTCCTAGGGTGGCCAGTACCTCATCTGGAATGCAAAAACCACGGTAAGAATCGAGGACGCGGTGGACCTCGCGCTCCGAAACGTCTCTCCTGGGAGAACCTCGTCGAAGGGGCAGGCCCTCGCTCACCTTCGAGAGAGCTGCCCCGGGGATCGGCACCTGGCGACGCGCGTCCACTGCTCGCGAGGCGAGAAGGAAGAGAGCCACGGAGGGAGATGCCCGTCGCCAGGGGGAGAGAGCGTTTCGGATCGTTCGGCCGGCGATCGTCCGAAATAGTTCTAACGGCAGCCCGACCCGAGTTCTCGGGCTCCTGGAAAGGTGGCGGCGTTTCCTCGGTTCGAGTAGGTCATCCGTGCCCTCGTCGAGGAAGCGCTACCTTTTCTCCCTTTCCATTCTTAGAGTCGACGCCCTCGAGGACGCCTTAGAGAACGCCCAACGTCGATCCGGATTTCCTCCGAGTCGCGAGAGAAAACGGAAGACGAGTCCGCGAGCGCGAGGCAAGAGAGAGAGAAAGAGAGAGAGAAAGAGAACCAAGCGAGCCGGAGCCGGCGCCGCGGGAGGAGTCGGACCGGAGGGGAGCACCGCCGCGGAGGACGACGGGGCTCCTTCCCTCGCGACTCGTCCCTGCATCCGGCCCCGAGTCGACCGAGAGACGGCGGAAAGGAGAGAAGATCCGCGTCTCGGCATCGATATCGTCTATGGGTCGAGTACCGTTAACGTAAGAACCCCTTAAATCTACTACAATGAGTGTATTCACGTATTCACGAACATCTATTTGCCAGGATGTCTCCGGTTTGGTAAACGAGATGGCCGTCTTCGTCGTCCTCGACGAAGGGCGGTCGTGGGCTCTATCGGAATCGGCGCGACACAGAGGGCAGGATGAGCGTGTCGGGTGCGCGCGGGTCGTGTCGGCCCGGACACCCGACGAAGCCCCGGACAACGTGGCGTTCGAGTTGCGCGTCCGAGGCGGCGGGGCGTCGGCGTCGTCGGCGTCGTGGTGGTGGCGGTGGTGGCGGTGGTGGCGGTGGTGGCGGTGGACGCAGAGAGGCCGTGGTCGGAGTCCCGGAGAGTCCCGTCGACGGAGGTCCGGGGCGCGGAGGTCCGGGTCGTCCGGGTGGAGAGAGCCAGGCCGTCGAGGTCGCCGTCGAGGTCGCCGTCGAGGTCGCCGCCGAGAAGAGGAGGAGTCGCCAGCCAACGCCGCACCATCGCCCCGGCGTCGTCGCGACGACGGCACACGGACGCGCGGCAGAGGATGACGAACACGAACGGACGGACGAACGGAGAGGGAGCGGACGGACGTACGGGCGGATTTACACACGTGTCCCGCCAGGCATCACCGTCACACCCGAGAGGATCCGAGCGCCCAGTCGATCGACCGTTCCATTCCATTCCATTCCATTCCATTCCATTACAACGGAGATGTAACCCAACAATCAGAGAGAAAGGGGAGAGGGCAAAATGGTTTGCCAAGTCAGAGAGTTGCGGATAATTACGAGTATAACGTTTTTCTTAGCATTTCTTTTTTCTCATTTACGGAACCGGCAACGCGCTCTGGCGTATGTATACGTATATACACACCCGCGTGCGTGGTGCACGGGTGCGCGCTCGCGCATCGCGCGTTCGGCCCGTCTTGCCGGCGAAACGTCCCGACAGGAGCGGCCGCGACGCGGGACCTCTCGTCCCGCTCCTGTCCGCGTTTTTCCGTCATTTCGAGAGGCACGGGGCAGAGGTGGCGCCGGGGCGACGCCTCTCTCTCCGTCCTCGGCCGATGCTTCGTCCCCGCGACCGCGGTCGCGCGGACGAGACATCGGCCACGTCCGATAAGTACTTACGTGTGACCGCCGCGACCGGCGTCGGCGGTGGACGCCCGAGGCGTCGCCCTTCGATTCCGATCCTCGGTCGGATCGCCTCCCGCTCGGCGGGCGACGCCGCGCGCGTCCCCGCGGACGCGTCGGTCGGACGAGGGACGCGGAGGAAAGGAGGCGCGGGATCGAGGAACCGCTCTTTGCTCTCGCGAACTCTCTCGGAGCTCCGAGGTGCCCGGCCCACCCGAAAAGTCGACGTCTTCTCGGATAGCTCTCGATTTCGCGTCGAGCTTTTTCCAAATGCCATCGGTACCCCCTTCCAGCGTCCAGACGGCGCGAGTCGGACGCGAAACGAACGCGAAACGAACGCGAAACGACCGCGAAATCGGTACCCGCTGTTTTTCGAGGCGTTCCGAGGACGGACCCCTCCGGAAACGCCCGTCGGGGCGCGAGAGGGTGCGAGGGCGGAGAGGAACGGCGGCGTCTTTCGGCGAGATGAGAACGGCAACTTACGAGCGAGGTCTCGAGCGCGCTCGCGTCGCCGTTTGCGTCGGCGGTCGCGGTCGCGGTCGCGGTCGCGGCCGCGGCCGCGATGCGCCGATACTTGCTGGCGATGACGTCGGCCGCGCTCGGCTTGGCGGGTCGCTCGGCCCCGGGCCGAGCCAGGGCGTCTTCCAGGGCGGCGTACTTCAGGATCAGGCCGCGAATTTCCTTGCGCCGGGCCTCTCGCTCGGCGAGGGCGGGGTCGAGGTCGGGGTCGGGGTCGGCCGCGTCGCGCGCCCTCGTCGGCGTCTCGTCGGGGTCGCGCAGCCGGCGCCCGGCCGAGGAGGCGTCGAGCTGCTCGCTTCGGCGGCGGGGGGCGGTCTCGCGGCCGCGGTCGTCCGCCAGCCCGGATTTGTGTCTGGCCGAGCGGCGTCCTTCGCTCCCGTCGAGGGTGGCGGGCCGGTTGCGGTTGCGGTCGCGGCGAGCGGTCGCCGAGCCGCTCACGTAGGGGTAGGCTTTCTCGCTGAGGAGAACGCCGGAGGGGCTCCTGACAACGACGGCGTTGGCGGGGGCGGATGTCGGGCCGAGTCCACGCGTCGCCGAGGGCTCCAAGGTGCGCTCCTCCCTGGGATGAAGAATGCTGCCGTCGCGGGGGTAGCGGCTGCGGTCCCGGGTGCGCCTCCCCGAGTGGACGGCCGAGTCGAGGTCGCGGCTCCTGGCGTAGCGGCCGAGGATCGAGGAGTACTTGTCCTCGAGGCGGCTCCGGGTGTTGCCGAGGACGGCGCGCACCGCCCCGACGGGGCTGGTCGCCAGGGGGGTCCGCTCGCTCGCCGAGGACGGGCCCCGTACCCGGGTGGTCAGACGCTGGAGCAGGCTCGCGCACGAGTCCGTCAGGATCTGCGCCACGCTGCTCGTCGAGGAGCGCGAATACCGGCCGCTCCGCCGGCTCGAGCCCTGCCGACTCGCGGTCGACATCTTCCGACTCCTCCGATGACTATCCCCGGAGGGACCGACTCTGACACCGTCGAGTCCACCCGCGAGACGACGACCGCGACCTTTCGAGCGGTCCCCCAGCGAGCATCACGGCGACGCGGACGTGCCGATCGCGCGAGGGTTTCCCCCGAAGACGCGACCACGACCACCGCGACGACGACGAGGACGACGACGACGACGACGACGACGGCGAAGACGACGGCGAAGACGAAGACGAAGACGAAGACGAAGCCGACGACGCGTCGCCCTCCCCGCCAAATACTGACGGACTAAAAATACCGAGGAGCGGAGAGCCCGCTCCAACAAATAATGCGTCCTCGGCGCAACACGCGCGAGCGAGACGAAGAGAGCCGAGGGGCGGCGCGATTACGTAAATGGTCTTTCGCGGGCGCTTATTTAGGCCCTGCCGAAGATTCGCCGATCCGCGACACCTCTCTTCGCTCCCGACGCGGAAGCGGCCCCGTCGCTCGATCCGATCGGTGATTCGGCCCGTCCATCGCCGAGGGATGGCAAACTCCGGTCGGGGGGCGACTTTCGTAGACTCGATTACTATTAATAAAGCTCGACCCGCGGGTCTTCAAGGTCGCACCGGAGAGGGAAAGAGAAGCTCGATTCAATATAAATACTCGGATCGGGTCCGATTTCGTCACGATTTCGCCACGGGCGAGTTCTGGGTCGCCTCGAGGGGAACCCGCGGCCGCGGGGAGATTTCGCAAGAGGTCAGGGAAAATCCGTTCGTTTCTTCCAAGAGCCAAGATATGCGCGTTATTGGGCCGAGCGGCAGCCTCGATACCTTCTCGGCCGCCGAAGTCAAAGGCCGTCGCGGTTTCCGGCACTGGCCAACGGAATCGCGAGTCGAGAGCGAACGGAAGGGAAAAGCTCTCGGAGTCGAGATTCGGGAAGACGCGCCGCTTCCGCGTGCGAGCCGGCCCGCTCCGTTCGCTCCGCCAGAAATACCTGACGTTGCGTCCCGATATCTGGGTTGCCGTTCCCTACCTCCGATTCTCCCACCTCGCCTACCGGGAGCTCTTTCCCGACCGCCGAGTCGGTCTCCGGACTCTGGACGCCCCCCGAGCATTTAATCTCGAATCGGCTATTTACGAACGACGGCCCGATAACGGGCCCACCCTCGACGGCGAGCGACTCCCGAGTTCTCAAACCCCAAAGGAAGGAGGTAAACGGCCCAACGGCCCGCCAGGTAGAGTTACGGCGAGCTGCGCCAGACGTCGCGACGCGTCGGGTACTCCTCCGGCCGGCTTGCCGGGGGTCACGGTGGAGGGAGCGAGAGGGAGCGAGAGAGAGAGCGTTCCAAATATAACGGGCGCGTTCCCGACTCGTCGGCAGAGAACGAAGGGCCGAGGAAACGTGAGGCGGAGGAGACCGGTGGGCCGGGAAGGCTCGATTCGTGCCTAAACCGACCGGAGGCGTTGACGCTACCTCGGTGGTCGACGCGTCGGTCTCGGGAGTGACGTCGAGTTTCGTTTCGGGGGATTCGGATCGTCGCTCGATCCTTCCTGGGCGATGGCGAGCGCGGGGCTGAAACCAGGATTCCCAGGTGAGTCCGGGCGGGGGCTGGAGCAGCCTCCAGGTCGGAGTCCCTTCCAGGCCCTGGCGGGCCATCTCGTCCTCCGGAGTCGGCCTACGACTGGCGGAGTTCGGAGTGCTGCGGCGACATCGGCCCGCTCCTCCGAGGTCCTCGGGTGCCCGAAACCGGACCGGGGACTGAGCCTGGACGGGCCGCGCGCTCCGCCGTTGCGCCGTCCATCCGGCGCGAACTCGCACTGAGATCGCCGCGGAACCGCGTGACGGGCCTCCCTCGGAAATAGACCTCGGTTGAAAATAGCTCGCCGCGGAGGAAGAAAGAAGAATCGCCGGCATCCCACGGGGGAGGGGCTCGCGCTCCTTCTCCAGGAAGACCGCGAGAAACACCTAGCAACCCCCGACTAGATCGTCCCGCCGAGCGCGTCGGAGCCGCGGTTCGCGATCGCAAGAGCGGTGTTCGGGCGAGGGGATTCTTGGAGGGTAGCAGGGGAGTGGGTATCGTCGCGCGCGCGCTGCGCGGAGAAGCGCACGGCTCGATCTCGGACTCACCTGACTTCTGGAGGACAGCGAGCGGTGGCGAAGCCTCGAGGCCTCCTGGCTCGGCGAGGAGGAGGCGTGGTGGCGGCGGGGCGGCCGCGTGCGTCTCAGCGAGGTCGCCGGCACCAGGTGGGCGCGATCCCGGTCCCGGTCCCGGTCCCGCTCCCGCTCCCGGTCCCGCTCCCGGTCCCGCTCCCGGTCGCGGTGGGCGTGGGAGTGCTGTCGGCCGCTGCTCGGCGAGCGACGGTGGCTGCGCTTGTAGCGCCGCTCCTGGCTGGTCCCTCGCTCGTGCTGTCGCGACCTGAGGACCCTCTCGCCGCTGGACAGAAGGGGTCGGTGCGTGAGTGAGCGAACCTTCGACTCGCTTAGCAGGGATTTCGAACAGAGAAAGAAAACAAAGGGAGACGTTGTTAACGATCGTCGAAAGGGCCCTCCCGACTCTTCGAATTTTCCTCGAGTGCTTTCGCGATTGCGTCGTAATCGAAATCGGAAAGTCTCGTGTCCGCCCGGCCGATCTTCGCCGAGAGGACCACGGTGTTCCTTCCGATTTTCTACTTGGAGACCATCCAAAGGCCTTGAGAACTCCACCGAGATTCGGAATAGCCAAGGCGCGTTAAATGGGTCGGATGCGATTACGCCAAGACCGAGCGAGTCGCCCTCGCAAATTTTGCGGACTCGTAAAATGGAATCGTACACGGAGGACAGTTTTAATGCACTTCGACAGGGTTCCAAAGATTCATCAAAAATGCAAAATCATTTAATTAAATCAACGCAGTTCCCACCGTTAATTACGTCAGTCGTTACAGGGTACTTCTAGGTTAAGGCAATCGATATTTTACCTTGATTTACAATAAACTTACAAAAACTAGAAAAGATTTATTTGTATAATTACCATGACATATTTGAAAGCTCCATAATTACATATATATATATATATATAAAATAAGTTTTGAGCCGTATCAATTTTAATAAGGGCTGTCAATGGCTTGAATCTCAAGAAAGACATTCTCCTTGAAATTGCTTATGCATTAATTTATAAATTGTATTCGCAACTATTAATCGTATTAATTTGGACTGTACCGCTTACCTGTAGGTCCCTTTACTCTGTGGACTGTCATATTCGATATGCCGCCGTTTGTGTTCATACTGAGGAGAACCGGCAGAATGCGAGCAGGATCTGGAATGACTGCGGGAACGGTGGCGTCTCTTGTTTCGTGGCATCTATAACAAAGGATTTACATGTCTTAATAGCTGATTCTTCTTTGGTTGAAGTTATTACTTTGTAACTGTCGTTCGCAAGCAATGTTGATATACACAAGGTTAAAATTTCGTAAGTGAAAGATTATAAGGTCTACAAAAATGGGCCTGGTAAGTTACGATCGCCATATTTTAATAAAGCATAGAGCAATAAAATGAAATTATAAAAAATAAAAATAATGTTGAATGAGCGATTCAAGAATGTTAAATCATGAGAAACGTGACAACGATAAAGTAATGAATGCAAACAAAGTAAAAGAAATACTCGTTCGGATCGGATCAAACACTCGTTTTGTCCTATATATACCTATTACGATTCCACCGAGTCAAACAACAGGTTTAAAAAAAGATCAAATAGACTTTCCTCCATATAACAGAAATTCAGTAGAGCATCAAATAGTCAATGGTAAAAATCAGTTTTAACCGATAGCCTGGAATCGTGAGAATCAAAGAACCATACCATCGATTCATACCGCCGAGTACTTACACTTGGAATATGAAATAGATTCACTTGATCCCAAACGAAATCGAAGATGGACGTTATCCAGGACCATGAAGATGATGCTTGCAGTATGACACTGTTATTAGACAACGACGAGGACATCGGCTCAAAAAATTCTGGAAAACGTGGGTATTCGCATCGTCAAGGTAAAGCAATCGTTTCGTCAAACTGCCCACGTTGAGGTAACAGGAAAGAGGATGCCGAGAAATATTAATTCAACTTGCAAATGGAAATTATACTTTCTCATCATGGAATCATCGAGCCCCTTCGGGGTCATAAGGTCGTGAAGAACATGATGACGTTTATATCGGAATCCCGACGGTTGATGATACAAATATGGCAACAGGCTCGCTAATTATGCACAGGCATGTTTCGAGGTTTGATTGAAAATCAGTATTAGATGTACTATCCAACCTTAAAGCGGGCGGAGAAAACGAAACACAGAGCTCTATGGGGGAACTCGGATGAAGTCTTCGCACAGGTTGGATGGAAGCTGAGAACAAGGGTGTAGAAGAAACTCGAATCGACGCAAACTACTGTCGCAAACACGCCATATTAGAAACCTCGAGGAAACGGACGGCCATCTTGCAGCCTGCAAGAACGGTCGGAGTCGCGAGACGGACGCACGCGCATTTCGGTTGGTCTCTTCTACAATTTTTAACTTCTTAATATTCTACGCAGATTCTGAACAGGGCACTTACGTTCGAGGAATAAAGCAGGCTAGTTTGGTCCCAAATCAAACTGAGAATCCACGATATCCAAGAACGCGAAGACGTACATACACCGCGCTACACCACTACGTGACAACGACGTGGACATGGGATCGATGCGATTGGTAGCCGCTACTCGGGTGGTGTTCGGCAAACTTCGGAAGTCCTCCGGTGTCGTCACCCGCCCAACGCGACGCGAAGATGGCCGAATCTTCGCTAGCCAATGGCGACGCGCGACGCGAGATCGATTGCGTGTGGATATCGAAGCGAGCGCCGCAGCCACAGACCGGCGAAAAATTCAGGATACTCCTGTAAGGCACGTTATGTCGAAAAATTTCCATTTCTTTCCAAAACAGTTTTCCCGTAGACGATAGACGATGTGACGTAAAATAAGCGCGCAGCAGGATTATTTTTTAAACGAGGCACTTAAATTTTATATTTTTTACTGTGTCCACGGACGCGCCATTTGTATCACCGCCTTATAATTTCTCCAATCGTGATGATTCATTAAAATTAGTTTAATCCAAGTGTTAAACAAAATCGAGGAATCCTCGACATCGCTTAAACTTTGGCTTTGCAGATATAAGGAAGCATAAGATAGGTAATACCACATCCAGGAAACTCGCAAGCATCTCACTTGTATTTCTATGCACCGCCACTCTGTTAATTAATAATTGGGAAATTGCACTCAAAGTTATCTTTCGAGTAAGGTTATCACGGTCGGTATCGGTGCTCTACCCCAAGAGATTATTCTATTAATACAGAGAATTCTTGATTTCAACTCTGAGTAAATTGTAGCACGCAAGAGGTAAGTTAAATCTATGCAAAAATCCCTTTGCCATCCCTTTCTCGTGTTCGACGTACTACCAGAACTGCACAGAAAGAAAACTCATTTCTGTGCAAGATTCGTGTCAAAGAACGATCGAAAATCTGGTTCGCTCGTCTCATTTTGATGAAATTAATAAGAATAAATACTCTTACTCCTTTCAACACCACGTACCTGTCCCCAGAGCCAGATATAAATAGTTTCCTTGATGCCATGGTACAGAAGATTGAAGACATCGCGAAACATTTTCACCCCGATGTCCGACGATTATGGACGTTACGTCCAAAGGCTTGCACCAGCGGCCAATGGCGGCCAGTGTCGGTCTATGGTTTTGACAGGAAACTTACTAGAGAATTCAATAGCCAACGATTAATATAGATATCTTCCAAACAAATTAGAATCATCGGAATCCATAGTACCATTTCAAATTATTTATTCCATGTACTTACATTCAAAATGGATTAGACTCGCGAAGTCCCAAATGAAATCGAAAAAATACATTATCGAGGACCGTGAATACAATGCAATTTCATACCGTATTTTAAAAACACCCAGAATATTGGCTGAAAAAATTTTGTAAAATGTGAACATTTGTTTCACCAGGATATTTATCAAACACCGTCAATGTTCGTGAACCGTAAAGAATGCGACGACACATATATCACCACGTAAAATTTGAAGATCTTCACCCATCGAGTGGAAACAAGAGGAAGATGAGAGAAAAGCCAAGCGACGAAGGTTACCGTTGTGGACTTACCGATACTCGAACCCTCGAGATAAAAGGGCCGCGAGGCGCCCACCCGTGGCCCTTACAAATGTCTTTGAAACGGTACGAATCCGTTAGAGAGCACTTACGTTCGAGGGGTGGAACGAACTCGCTCGATCCCAAATTCCCAAATCAAATGGAAACTCCGAACGATAACGACACTCGAGCGAAGGCGCATACACTTTGCCGAAATCTGGACTCGAACAGGAATAACCACGAATACCTCGAGCGGATTACCCAGCGAACGCGAAGCACGCTCCGGAGTTCGGAGTTCTTCGACATTATCAAAATTTAATCCAATCGGCTACCATTAAATTCGTCCGTACCCTCCGAGGCAAGAACAATCACGGGTTGCGCAAAACGCGTCGGTAACGGAACAGAAATTCTACTTAACATATTTTCTAACGTTTGCCCCTAGACGAGTCGAGGACCGACATCGTTAATTTATTCAATGAATATCCGCAATTGGAAAGAACGCGCAGCAATTTCATTCGAAGGCTACCTTGCCTAAAAGCGGAGAAAAGTGAGCGAATCCGCGGACGAAAGGTAAGTGTCCGATACCGCGGAATCGGCGGTTCTTGATTCACGAGCCCTGCGACAGATGGCGGGACGCGAACCATTTTTTCGAAACGGCCACGAATCGCGTTTCGACGCGACGTCTCGATTCGATAGCTTTGGATTACCTGCGTCGGGTCGAACGTGACGAACTTCGATCTTTGAGAAATGCCGTTGATCGGGAGCACAGAGGGCGGCTGGTTCCATGGGGCAGAATCCAACGCGTTCCATGGTTGCGCGTGAGCCCGCTGTAGCACGAATTCGACTTGGTAAGAATTATAACGGGTACACGTTGGTAAAATAAACTTCGGTTCGATCGTTACGAGTCTCGAAGGTCGCGAATCGACCAGTACCCGTGCCTATAATTTCGCGCACGGCGATTCGATCTCGAGGATATAATTAAGATTCGGAGACTCGACGGCCCCGGGTCGTAGCTTCCGCGAGCACGCGCCGCGTCGCTCCAATCCGGAGAACCGTCGAAACTCGGGCCGCGGTACCTGCAGGACGGGGCGACGGCTCCGAAATCGAGAGGCGGCCACCCGAAGAAGGCGAGACGCGAGCCCTCCCCACATCCTCCCCACAGCCCGCCGCGAAACGGAACCCCGAAGCGCGACTGCACCGTCGAGGGGCGCCTGCGCCGACCTCGGACCCGGACCGAGGGGAACTTACGTGGCCGAACGTCTCCATGCGTCGGGATCCTCGACGGCAGCCTCGAGGCCGCCCTCGCCGCGACTTTGACAGGACAAGGGGGCGCGCGCTCGAGCGAGAGCAGTAGGCACGGGAACGCGGCTCGTTCGGGCCGTTCTCCGGATGTATTTTCCAGGGGCCGGTCTCTCGCCGAAAGACGCGCCTCCCGAGTCCGGAGGCGATCGATACCGTCGCCGTGGGAACCGGGTCGGCTCGGCTTCGCTCCGAGTCCCTCGAGTCGGCGGACTGGCGACGTCGCGAGCGGACCTCCCGCTCCGAGCCATGCCGAGACCCGGCCCGGTCCTGACGCGATGGACGGCGGCGACGCCGCTGCCCCTGGGATCGAGCTTCTCCGATGGAACGACATGCCGAGACACTTGCGATTCAACCCCCACATCCGTACCGGATATCGGCCCCTGATGAGCTTCCGCGGTTGCGTTTCCAGTATGCTCTTCCTTCACAACGAGAGCGTCAACATTTTGACGCACGGTGAGTCCCCGAGTCGCTGGTCCGCTCGCTTCGTTGAACGAAATCTTCCGATAACGGCGACGAGGTCGTCGGTTCACGGCATCTCGGGGAGAGTGGCGACCTGGCTCGGAGTACCGAGGCCCGAAGCGTCCACGTGGAGGTATGCGCGGAAATTGGAACGTAGCGATGGAAGACGTTGCCAGGAAGGGATCGAGAGCGGTAAGATGCAGTGTGCGTCGCAAAAGCGAATCGCGACGAGGTTGATCCCTTGCGAGATCGCCGGGGCGTCCCCGGAACCCCGGAACCCCGGAACCCCGGAACCCCGGAACCACGGAATCGATCCCGGCCTCGCGAGGAAGCCTTAGCAGGGAGTCTTCGTAACGTAACTATAAGCGCGATGCTTTTTCTCTGTGAAAATAATTCATTGACTCGATCCTCGCGTACGTTTCCTTTGAAAACGTTTCTTCTCGTTTGTCGTTGGCAACGATAGGAACGTTGAATTTTTATTTCACGAATGATCACCCCGGATCGTTCTCGAAAGTAATGCATTTCCGTTTTGCAGGCTTTGCGATCTTCTATATTTTGTTTACGGTGCCGAAACTACTTCCATGGTTCTCAGGGGGTATGTTAGCAGGAATTCTCTCTTGCTGTCATTTGATCGGGGCGACCAGTCCATGGATAGGTTCTTTTTTGTATCACGTCTTCATGAATCTGAACTACGGAGAGAGCTTTTATAGGAAATTATTAAAACTCGACATGACGGGTATCTGGTTGTGTCAAAGCTTCGGTACGAATATACCATATGTGCATAAGACGCATACACATGTGTACGTATAAAATTAACGTCGACCCTTTTCTAGGCGCTGTACCAATGATGGCGGCAGCTGTACATTGCCTGCCAGGAATTCCCTGGTACTGTTGTATAGCGTTTTATTGGTTTCTCAGTTTTTGGGGCTTGTTCAAGGTAATATATTTGAATGTTTTTTAATGTTTTCAATTCTTTTGAAAACGCATAACGTTTTCCAGGCGATGCACGCGAAATCTCCATGGGAAAGACGTTTATGTTTTTCACCTCCATTTTTAATGAGAATGCTCGTCCTGATTTTGAGGTGCAACGGCATCGGTGGCGGGTCTCCCGATGCGCTTGGCGATATAATGTTACAGGTACGCTCGTCGTGCACCTACGTTGTATTTGGCATTGGTATCGACAGAAATTGCTTCTCTTAAAATTAAGTCAATTAACGTGTATGGGTGTTTGCGGGAAATTTTAGGACCTGATGGCGGTAATAGGTGGTACTATAGGAGCAATGCGTATTCCGGAGAAGTGGATACCTGGCCAAGTGGATTTTATCCTAAATTCGCATAACATAATGCACGTCATGGTCGTCCTAGCGGTATGTTCTATGCACGCGGCTACGTTGCGAGATCTCGTTTGGATGGCCGATCCATCTGCGTGCATCGCACCGCTACCGACTTATGGTCCGTGACTTTGAGATCGCTTCCATTGAATCCGTGATTTGATACGAGTTCTAAATTGCAAATTCCGTAACAGCTCACGATTCCTTTAATACGCTGCAACGTTAAATGTCCAAACGGGTCGATAGAATCATAGAGCTATATTATGAGAACATGAACAAATAATTTATTAAGTAGGTAAACTTTTAAATGGTAACGATCGTGGAAGAGCTAAAGTCGATTCAAAGTACAAAGAAAAAATAAGATATTTTTGATGTGTTATTATCGTTCCCTTTCGTACGGTATTTAGCGAATGCAACCGACTTTGTGCCGATCCATCGGAAGCATCTACGACGGCTTTAAATACATTCAACGTTCTTTTGACATAAATGATGCTCTCTGAATATTTCTGCAGAACTCTAAACAAATAATAGAAAAAATCTATGAGGGTAAAATGAGTTGAAAGATAAGCACATCAAAAATATATTTATTATGTGTCCGATTACAATAATCGAATATGTACATACTGAAATGCGGAGGCGGTGCTTCGAAGCAATGTCAGCTTCTGTGAAGTATTGAGATCCACGACATAAAAACCAGGGATTAGATGAATAAAATGTATCCAAAATAATCAGGAAATTTCCCTTATTGAATTCACTGTCATTTGATCATTATTTACATCCTTTCCCCTAAGGCATTTAAATAATAATTCTTAAACGATTGGTACGACCGTATTGGCAGCATAAACAAATATATCGAAAATTTTTAAACCTCGATTCACTGAAGGTATTAATTTCCAGATAATAATAATTTATCATTATTACCACAGTCCTTCTTTTGTTGAATTATAGTTAAAGGATATTTTTCGTTTATCAATATTTTTTTGGAAACCTCAGACTACTACCTAATTTCGTTTTCTTGACACTATCCTACTTACCGTACATATAGGTAACCCGTAATTTAACAGTAATCCTGGCTACTAATTAAATTATAATATTATACATTTACCTACAAATAATAAAAGTTTGAGTCTTAAGGCACCGTGTAAGTGCGTAACTTAAATGTTTATGTATATTAATTTTATAATGCAACCGCTATAATAACAAATCAATTTGAAAAAGATTAGTACTTCTTGAAGAGATATTTTTAAATTCCCGGTGGTAACTGTGGGAAATTAAAGGATCAATTGCCAGGATTTCATTGAAAATATCTCTTCACGTTTAATTTAATCTTAAACATTGTAATAACAATATGTGATCTCAATAAATTCTGTTGAAGATCTACAAATATAGACTGGATTCTTTTCTTTTTTTTTTTAAGAATGTAGGATCCCGCTCATATTCGCAGAAAAATTTAAATCTAGTATACAGTTGTTTAGTTTGCGTTATAACAGTGTTTTGAGACGAAATACTTTTATATGACGAAAATTTGCAAAACTGATCACTGTAGGGGAGCTTCACTTTCTAATGTATAACTTTTCACTCTACTGAATCTAAATGGCGGATATCGGCTGGTAAGATTTAAGCAAGTAGATCCTTCTTGCCCGTTTCTATATTTAGTAAAAATGTTATACTTTAACCACGTCAGTTGCGAGTTGACCCTTTTGTGGTGGTTTTGAATTTCAAACTCCTGTAACAATTAGGAAAATAGTATATTATGCACCAATTGAGACAGGGAGCAAAATACACATACAATATGGAACGTCTGCTCTCCGCCATCTTGCATAGGCTCTCTCCTCTTTCGTCTGTACACGTTATTGCTTCCCTTAGTCTCCTGCTTTTTAAGTATTAGCGTAACGTAATTATCGTGAAGTCGACAGTGCCCAACTAGCACCGAGATATTCCTTGGAGTGCGATACTTCAAAGAATTTACACAAGTTTGCGCTTCGTCCGTTGATGTTAACATTAACACTCGTCCTTCCGGGAAGAATCTAAAAGATTAGAATAAAATTATATAAGGTATTACCTTTGCATATAAAACAAAAATTGATAAAGTGGTAAAATTATAATACCTCAGGTACCTAAAATACTCGATAAGATGCCAAGGCCTATAAAACTGATCCTGAAAACTATTTTCACCATGGCGTATGTACGTAGTTTTACTGATGTAACATCCATTATATCTCAACCTAGGCCGTTTCAAGTACATTTCCCTCCATGAATTGTATTTCGATTCAAAGTTTCCACAATTTACACCCCACACTCTATACAGTAATAGGATCAATTGACTGATTCATTCGATATGACAAATTATTAAGTAGAGTGTAACATATAATCGTGTGCACCTCACGCATGCCAATCTCCATATTTCTTGATCCCTTGCCGATATATAGAAACCCCGACATACCATAGAAAACAATTCTAACGACCTCAAGTCCAGCTCTGAGGAAACTACCCATCTAAGAATATAAAGAACTATTTCCATTGGTAGGGCCGAGATGTGCACAGTCTGAAATAAATATCGATGCACTGATAATGCAGATCATCTTATGTATACAACCCCAACAAATTTCTTAGGAAATACTTACACTTTGTTCAAACCGAGGAAAACAAACGCATTGATTTTGGTAAACAATTCTGGAAAGTTTTGAGAACAGATCACTGTCATCCCCATCGTCATTATCTTCATCTTCTGATTTATTGGAGTCTTGCACATTAGAATCAATCTTATCTAGTTTTTCATCGCTACTGAATTTATCTCGAATCTTTACTTTTGTAGATTCATACAAACGAAATTCAATATCAGGTACGAGTTGTACTGCTCTCTTGTAGAATTGAACTGCCTCGTATAATTTACCTGTTTGCTCGTGTTCAATTCCTTTCAGAAATAAGCTCTTAGCCTATACGATACATGTTAGTAAATACAAGTGGTACAGACCAATAAAGTAAATATTAAACTCGACCCATAGATAATTTTTACTTAAGTACCTTGCATTCAACCGAGGACGAATCATCATTTAAGCCATTAGTACCGAGAGGCTTAACGATAGAATTTTTAAAGGTCTCTTGTTTAGGTGATATTTTCAGTTCCCGTTGCCATTGCTCTCGGAAGGATTCCAATGCATCTTCTACTTTCGATTCTTGGGGAAAAGAAGAATCTTCCTGATCGTCTCCTCCTTCGCCACCATCTTCGGATCCCTCGGTATGATCCTCGTAATAAACAAAAATTAGTATTTAATCTCAATTACAGCAAATTATTGCATCTACATTTTTTAACGTTACAGATGTAACGCAATGTCTCCGAGATATAGTATGTTCTTGTTGATTTTGTATTACACACAGAGCTGTGAATATAATCTAATTTGTCAGGTAATGACAAGTTAATTCATTAGATATATTATAACAACCCATCTCGTATCTATCATGGTTCAGATGATAAAAGACTAACTTTAAAATAAGATCCATTTAATGTGATTATGTAAAAAATGTAAGCAAAGACACAGGTTAAGTCTTAAAAATTTTCATAATCACGAGACATCAATTTGACATACCATTATTTAAATTAGAGATGTAATTCTTTCACTCTGTCTCTTCAACGCTCATACTCTCGATCGGAAAAGCGTATTACACTGCGAAAGTATACTTTTGCTAGCAGAACTGCTGCCATGATTTCCAATTTTTAATCTATTTCAATCGTACAGCCAGAGTACAGCTGCATACAGCTCAGTACAGCTCGTATAGAGATGAGCTGGGAGATTGTTCACGGGCTGGATCGCGCAATCCCGTTCTGTGCTGCCTTCGCTGGAGAATGCGGGCGGCTCGTGCACTTTCCACCTGATACCCCTGGCGGTCCAACTCAGAGATCCTTCTCATCTCAACGTCCTATCATGGCCTTAGACCATAAATATCTGGACCTCGCATAGCAGTGGAAGAGGTAAACTCGAATGCCACATGGACCAGAGATGAGTTGGGGGATTGCTCACGGGCAATCTCCTAACGTACTAGGGGCGACGGCCAGACAAAAGACGGTTTCGCCTAATCCGCGGCCCGGCCGACGGACTGACAGTTTAATAGCATTTTTGAAATTACGCATAAGGTTCCACCGATATCCGTAGCCAACGTTTATATGGTATATTGAAACGTGTTTAAGCATTTATTAGTAGTTGTTTATTTTAATATTTTTCATGTATCTATTTGCTTATATTTCAGAATCCTCAAGGATAGGAAAAACGCATTAAATGATAGGTAAATTTAAATGCACTGGTAAGTTATAATTCGCGCCACTGAACCCGGCCGGAAGCAGCGCAAGATGGCCGGCGGAAGTAGACGCTGCCAGTGCCAACTGCCAACCTACCAGGCTCGCTCGAGCTTTGCTTGTTGCCGTAGGAAAACTCATTTTCCTTAATTTCTCGTGGCTCGTGGATGTACTTTCACGTTGGGTACGTTAACAGATATTATCATACTTTTTCGCGACATAGTGCCAATATCATTACGGCGACGTAACCTCCATAGCTTTACGAAGTCCTTTGTCATAACGTCGACACTGTCGCACCGTTATTTTTGGAAGCCTAGTAAGGCAGGACATTTTAATTTATTTGTGGATTTTCACGTCTGATTTCTTAAATTCTATTGTGCACAGTTTGTTGGTGACGATTAACGCTTCGTTGCATATAATTGGCTTTCTGGTGTGCAATTAAAAATCAATCGTGTAGTGAGGAACGTCATGTTTTAATTAAGATTACATGTGTTCGATTCCTCCTTTCAAAAATGGAAAGCATCGAGTAGCAGTAATTGCGATTGAATCTTCTTACACTACATGTATTCTTGTGTGAACACATCTGATGCAGATTATTATGTTATGATTAGAAGTTAGTTTTGTGAAGTTTTTGTGACTGCAATTTTAGACGGAATTGAGTCGGCTCACCGTTTCAGTTGCCTGCAGTAATATGTTGTACGCTTTGTCTCCATATTATACTTTGTCGAGAATAAGTATATTGTATTATTGAAACAGTGAGCACTATAATGCATGACTGGCATTTTTTCAGAGTAACTGGTGGTTGACAGACAGTAGGACTGACCCATACCCATTGTTGAATATGTTTATTTGGGACTGGTTTACTGGAGTTTTAGGTTATCTTGGTAAGCTTCTGTAATTATATTGTCTTATTGACTAGAAAAATTAAATAGTTGGCAAGAGTTATCGTGATAATTGTGAGTCTCGGTTCTCAAGGTCTAAGGCAGATCAAAGAACATTTGGTACAATTGCAAATCCAAATTTGTGACAAAAAACTATTCATGCATTTATTTACTACCATCGATTGATATTTGACCGAGAGATACAGGTTTTCCTAAAAAAGGGTTAATCGAAGTTTTGTAGGTATTCGAGTACCTGTATGCCGGGGAAGATTTGCTGTTCTTGGTTTGCCTTATTCTGGTCGCCATTCGTTAGTAAAGGTGGCTTTGGATGAACGTCTCATAGATCCCATTGCAGTCTCTGCCAAACGTAAGTGAAAAATATGCATGACAACTCTTCCTTTCATTTTCAGGGCTTTGGAAGAAAAGCGGCAAGCTTCTATTTCTTGGCCTGGACAATGCTGGAAAAACAACGCTACTTCACATGCTCAAGGATGACCGACTGGCTCAACATGTGCCCACGTTGCATCCAAGTAACTAACAATTAATAGCAGATTGACATGGATTTTTTTTTCATTAAAAAAGTAGACTTATAATGTAGAAAATGCAATGAGTTTATGAACTGCGTGATTTTAATGTTAACGTATAGTTACTGAAACCCGATGTTACTACTTACTAAAGTTTTCTTAGACCGATTGACTTTAATTTTTTCTGAAACAGAAGGCAGTTAATTTGAATTCGTATGAGTGTATCGAAGTGTGCATGTTGAACTTTGACCTCAGGTATGACTTGGCAGAATGCTTAACTCGAGAAACCCTGAAGTAAAATGATTGTTTCATTACTTATGACTTTTAAGAATAAAAATTTCTTGATCACTTCATTAATTTTGATGTACATAAGTTTTAGTATTTGCTTTAGAACAATCTATAAATATTGACATAAATTAAATTCTATTTTTTATGTTACATAAATGCAACACTTATTACAGCATCCGAGGAATTATCGATTGGAAATATGAGGTTTACAACATTTGATCTTGGAGGACATACTCAAGGTAGTTGAATTATTATTATTTCATTAATTGTCGCAGTACATATTAAGTCGTCTAAAATCATTATATGTTTATAGCACGCAGAGTTTGGAAAGATTATTTTCCAGCGGTAGATGCCATAGTGTTTCTGGTAGATGCAAGCGACAGGTCCAGGTTACCAGAATCTAAGGCAGAACTCGATGCGTTGTTAACCGACGAACAACTTAGTGCTTGTCCGGTACTTGTACTAGGTAACAAGATTGATAAGCCAGGTGCAGCATCCGAGGATGAGCTCAGAAATTTTTTCAACCTGTATGGTCAAACGACTGGAAAGGTATGTGACGCGATCAATTAGTGTATAAAAAATTAAAAAGATATCTTTTCATCTTAAAGAAAGAATTTTATTATTTTTCAGGGTAAACTTTCACGTAGTGATATTCCAGGCCGTCCTCTAGAGCTGTTCATGTGCTCAGTGTTAAAGAGACAAGGTTATGGCGAGGGCTTCCGCTGGCTCGCCCAGTACATTGACTGAACGCACATAATCTGAACACTTCAATTTCCAGTAATTTTCATTTTCTTTTTCCAACTCTCCCGAAGTCGAATTCAGCCAATAAAAAGTGGCGATGATATCAGGGAGTGGGGTAATAAGGTTTCAATGGGCCGATGAAGTAGGGAGACGAGATTTCATGATATGGGCCTACTTTCAGTGCATTGTTATGGATACTATGAATTGAGTGGAATGCCATAATTTTTAATGAAGGTCAGTCGATATCTAATCTGTACATTTATTATTTCTCTGGTATCAACGTCAGGCTAGTCTTTGTTGAGTTAGTTTATGGACAATTTGACGTCATCGGTCTGTTTTCTGAATGTCTGGGATTCTTATACACGTGTCTAACAGCGCTGCGAATCACGTCGATGCTGCAAAGGAATGATACAAACCGTTTTGATAAATAAAACAATAATAAAGTATTTCTGAAGCCTAGACTTTGCAGATTCCTTCGCTTCTTTTTGTCAACATACTTTGATCAAACCTAATTCATTGTTTGAAACATTTCTTCATTCACTCTGCATGTCATGTTATATTGAAGACAACAACATTTTTTTTACATCTTAAGAAGGAACTGCATTCCACTTGCAAGTACTTTTTCAGTAAAGTGTGATTACAATGATTTCCAGACATGTGCTAAAAAATAAATATAAAACATTCGCAAGGATGAACATAACTTTCTTTTTTTCTTTTCTTCACTAAAACTTCATGACATTTCAATATTTATGAGCAGGAACTTGGTTTTGTGAAGGTATCATGTGCTATGTAATTATTCTTTTACAAATATGTGCACATTTTATTGGAATACGTCTGTGATGTTAAACTTTCTTATTATTTTGTATTCAAGCCATACGATGATATTAATACAATTTGATATTACAGACATAATACATTTAGAAAATATTAATTTAGTTTTTATAATTTAAGTTCCCTTTCAAGGGGCATTAAATTAAATTTTTTAATCACATCTTCATCTTTTACCTCTCTTAACGATTTTGGATTCCATGTTGGTTTATGGTCTTTATCAATAAGAACTGCTCTTACACCTAAAACAATAATCGGTTTTTCATGTCCCTTTTATTTTGGTAAAAATTAATTTATATTTACATTGAGATAGATTTATTTTTCCAGTACCTTCATAGAAATCTGTGTCAGGTCGTAAAATAGAACAAACTAATCTGAATTCCATTTTCAAACACTCGGCAAGAGTTTGCTGTTTTCCCAGTTCCAGAGCTTTTTTAGTAACTTTGAGAGAAGTTGGCGACATTTTGTTCAAAGTTTCAATCGTATTTCTTGCCCACTCCGAACCATCTGCTTCCAACCTAAAATATTCAAGCCCATAGTTTTAATGAATATAAAAAAAGGCTGTTAACTACTTGACAAGTAGGAGCTGGAAACATTTACCTTGAAATTATTTCTTCAATATTCGGAGCAGAGAAACAATGATTTATCTGTTTCAAATATGGTGCAAGGCTAAATTCACTATTTATCACATTATTTGGCTGGTGTTTTTTAATGATTTTATCAATATCTGTTTGTACCGTTAATAAATCGTTGGTTAGATCTTCTATCTTTTCAAACGAGATGTAATGTGTTGCAATTCCACTATGAAGTACGTCAATACCTTAAATGTTAATTAATGAAAAGATGTTCTTTGATTAGACATATGTATAAAGTGAAATATTTAATTACCTTTTAATCTATGACCAGTTAGACCTAAAAATATTCCCAGATTGTCTTTCAATTTAGGTAAAACATACGTGGCGCCAACGTCAGGAAATAGTCCTATTGCTGTCTCTGGCATAGCAAATAATGTTCTTTCCGTTGCAACTCTGTATTTTCCATGAACAGATAGACCGACACCACCACCCATAGTAATGCCAGAGATTAAGGCAACATACGGTTTCTTGTATGTCGCAATTAAATGGTTTAAACTATACCATTGGTACAAGATTTGTAATCATTATTTAGAAGGGGAAGAAGAATGAAGTGCACATTTTTAAGAACAAACGATTCACTTACGTATATTCATGCTGAAAGAATTGCACTTGTACCGGTGCCTCGACAGGATCTTTCAGGGCAAGAGCAATAGATTTGACATCTCCACCTGCACAAAATGCTTTTTCACCAATACCTTTGATAACAATTAATTCCTTGGAAGATTCCCATTGTTTGAGGGTAGAATATATTTTTTTAACCATGGACAAGTTTAACGTATTCAAAGCTTTAGGGCGATTTAATTGTATAAGACCTGCTTTTTTGTACTGAAAGAAATTAATTTTTTATCATATTTCCACAATAATTTAAGAACTGGAATTTGTTTAATGAAAGCAACATTGCCAAAAGTGTACTCACGTCTTTAAATAGGACATCGTCTTCGTTCATCCTTGAACCAAAGTTCCTTCTCGTGATTTTACATGGATCTGGAATTTAGTCGATTCATCGGATATAACGTTACATGTTACATAGTCGAACGTTTCTAGACCCTGATATTTCTAGGATAGATAACCGGTATCGGGTAACATCGGAGGCAGGATCATCGGATCTGGATTTGACAAGGAGAAAGCTGGCAGTCTTTATCATGCTTAATTTAAATCTGGGACCTCTGTTACCTGTGTTACCACGTGTGGATGATATTCCGATCGTTATCCGAACAGTAAACTCCCGTAACCTCGCGCAAGCGAGTCTCGAAGATAAATTAACAATCTGAAGCGATACAGGTTAGGGGTGAATTTTTACCCAATTTGCAGAATCGTATCATAATGTAATATGAATCGGTTACCATTTTTCAGTGATGGAAGACTTGAAAACTGCAAATGAAGTTATACCGGCCGCATGCTGAACTAGGTCTTACGTAGACGATTCATGGATTAGAAATTACCGTTTCATCATTATTATTGTCATTGTTATTATTATTAGTAATTACTTGCGTAGGAGATAACGATCATAGTCTCCACATTTCGCCGTTAATCAAGGACGTAAGATTCTTACGTCTAAGCCAGCTAAGCGCACCGGCCACCTAGCGGCTGGTCGTAGAAGTCGAATTTACATGTGTACCGGAACTCTACCTTATCGTCCGAATCGTAGCCCCCCACCATCTACATTTCCAACGGAGTTTTGGAAACGCACGCTGCTGCTTCCCTGCAGATAGCGCTCGTGCTACCGTTGCCAACATCACGCGTGATATCGGTGCGGGGTACTTCGGATGTGTTCGGTAACGGTTTTCTCGCGTACTCGTGGATCTAATAAGAATAACGTTTGCGGTTTGTTTTTAAGTTTGACCTCGCGATTCGATCCGCGATAACGGGAGTGCTCGCGGTAATTGGCTCTACCTCCGGAGTGACTCGTCGGGGAGACAAGGCAGATCGACCGGGAAATGGAATTCCGAAATCGCATCTACAGGGCCGAAGACGAAGGATCCGAACGAGACAATCCATATCGGTGGAGTCGACCGACAGGGAACGTTGCATCGCGGGCGAACGGCAAGCCGGCAAGTAAATCACGGTTCTTGACTGCGCATCGGCCACGGTCGATACGCGTTCCATTCGAGCGAGTTTCACTTAAAATCGTAATGGCCCGGTACGCGAAGAAATATGTAACCCGCGGTAATCCTATATCACGGATTCCCATTTATTGGGAAATGCGCGTGCCAGAAGAAGATAAAGCCTCGGAGGGCTTCTCTACCATATCCCCCGCGAGATCAAAGCTGTTCGCAAAATGGCGGCCAATTCGTTTCCCATAATCCACTGAACCAATCGGCGCTCTTTAGAGGACGATGGGAAAAAAGGTCAACGCGAATATCCGCGAGGCATGGAAAGCCCGTTGAGGGTTTTCACGAAACGCCGATCGAAATAAGTTCCCCTCGGGATCGATGCCATTGTTTAATTCCTACGTTAAGAAGCGCCAACGCCCAGAGGGCTTAATGCGATTTTCGCGCCGGATCAGCCCGGTCTTTCAACCGGGGATTGGCCGGGACCTACTTCCCAGCCGCGAATCGCGGCAACCGCGGGAAAATAACGACCGAGTCGTCGGGAATATTAAAGCGGAGTCTGAGAAAGGCGGCCGGGGTTCCCTTTGAGCGCCGCGTCGTCCTTCCGCTTTTCCCCGGACCCGGGACGGGGAACGCGACTTCCGAATTCGAGTCCTTTTTCCCTCCAAAATATTTCCCGGTGCTCCCGTCCGCGTGGCGATCCAGCGCAAAGGGTCGACCCGGAGCGTGCATCGGGTACTCGCTCGGGCACGCCTCTTCCGCCGAGGATTCCGACGCGCAACGTCGGTAACAGGCCTCTCCCTCCTGTCGCCGCGAGAAAAAACCAAGAGAATTATGGAGCGAGATGTAGAGGTATATAGAGGTATATAGAGGTATACAGAGGCGAGGAAAGCGCCGCATTGTCCGCGCGTTTAATGAATTTAATTAAAGACGTCTAGTTCCTGTCCACCTCCGGTGGCTCCGCGGCCGTTCCGGGCGGTTTTCTCGCCTCGCGCCGCTCCCTCGGTTACAGGGCGCGTACTTCCGACGCGTTTCGCCATTTGCCTCGATTGCCTCTTCCGCGCGTCCGAATTCCTCCGGCGCGCGGGGTCGATTCGCCCTCGTCCTCGCCCTGGCGCGTTTTCCTTTCATCCCCCAGGCGCGTATTTCCGGAGATCCGATGGAAGGAGCCCCCCTGGTCGCCGTGTTATTCCAACCGCGCCCAGTGTTTTCCCATTTTTGCCCGAGTGTTGCTAATTTCAACCCACGCGAGCCCCGGACCTCTTCTTCGGTCTCCCGGCGTTTTCACGGCGCCTCCGCGCGAGAACGAACGTTTATACTCGGCCGAGCGAGTATTAAAATCGATTGCCTCGCGGGAGGTGGAAATTCGGAAATTCGACCGTCTCCCTTTGCGACTGCTTTCGTTCTTGGTTTCGCCTCCCCTGTCTAGGAGGGACACGGAATCGCGGGAAACGATCCCCCCCCCGGTTCCCGAGGGATCGACCGCTCGCGCAGATTTCCCCGGGACACCGGACGCATACGAAAGGTCCGATACCATCGCCAAACTTACGATTCCCCGATTTCCTTATCTTTCTCCCCCGCGCCTCCTGCACCCTCGCCGGGATCTTCTCGCGCCTCCAGCCTACTCTCGATCCCGGGCCCCGAAGAAGCGCGAAAGTCGAGGAATGGACACGGTTCGGTGCAGTTTAATAGGTCGCTTTCGGCCGTGATTTAGCAGCGCTTGGGCTCGTTTGCGAGTAACGGCTTGTCAACGAGCGAATCGTCGTCGGTGGGACGCCCGTCGCGTCGCCGCGTCGCCGCGTCGCCGCGTTCCCGCTGCGGCAACGGAAAGAACGGCGCGAAATCGCCATTGCTTGGGAACACCGCAAAGACGCGACGGGGGAGCACGGCGTCGCGTCCTCATCCTCCTCGCGCAAATTCCGCACAAATTCCGCACAAGTTCCGCGCGGGGCAATTCGTTACGATATGGGTAATTACGGTCGGGCTTTCGAGATCGGAAGGCGCTTCCGCAAAGGGAAGGATTCTAAATTTCCGGGCCGAAGGAGAGAGCCCGGCAACGACGATACGACGACGAACGGTCGGGGTGCGGGAAAAGTAACCGAAACTAATCCGCGAAAACCCCTCCCCCACCCTTCCACGGTAATCCGGGGAATTAAGTCGTTCCGGTCAAAGAGACGACGTGCATTATTTTTGTAATCTCCCCCGCCGCAGCTGCGCCTCCTCTAAGACCGTAACAGGTACGTTAATTAACTCTCGCTCCTTAAACCAGCTTGGGCCCCTCCGCCTCTCTCCGCCTCTCTCCGCCTCTCTCGTCCCCTCCGTATCCGTTGACCGCGACGCGAAATTCGCGTAGCCTATCTTTTCCTTTTCTTTCCACCGTACTCCGTTTGCGCGCCCTCGATTAAGGGAGGGGGGCCTTCCTTTCCGCGTTTTCCTTTGAGAACGGCCGTCGAAGCGTGCCGGCGGCCAGGTCGGAGGCCCGGCGTTCCCCTTTCGGGTCCTCGGACGGGGTCGGGATCTCCTGGACCCTTCGACGCGTCGACCTCGAGGACGTCAGGAGCCGAGAGGGGAGCAGGGCACCGTTTTACGCTTAGACGGCGGATAGTGCTTTTATGGGGATCCCTCCCGGTCGGGGGGATGCCTAATGCTCCGATTAATATTCCGCAACCCGGTTCGCAAGCCGGCGTGGTATAATCGATGGTCTTCTTTTCCTCGCCCCGCGACCCGGGAAAAGGATCGAGGAGGCGCACTCCTGACGCGCGGAGCGGCCGCGGGTCCGCGCAGTGGAGGTCCAGGTTCGAATCGCTCGGCGGGGATTGATTCTTGGCGCCCAAAGACGAGGGCGTATAACGGCGGAAGAGTCGTTTGCACTGCACTTCATTTTAACTTCTTTTCGGCCCGGACGGTGGATGATCCTCGGTGTTGACTCGAGGAGGCCGAGCCCTTGTTTGCCCCCGCCGGGCTGGGCTGGACCCGACTATTTTGTATCGAACGGAAGTCGGACCAAGGAGCGCCCCGAGTCTCTTCCGGGACGAGGACGGCGCGGCTACCGTTTGAAAATTTATGGAAGGCCGTCCTCTGCCGAGACTCATGTTTTATGAACGACCAAGGGCGTTGGGGCGCCTCCGGGATTCCCGCGGACGCCTTTCCCTTGGACTTGGACCCCTGGCGCCTCCTGGAGACGAAAGAGGGAGGAGCGGGCGGGTATAATTGAAACGTAAGGAAACGAAGCGACGCCGCGCGACGCCGCGCGACGCCGCGCGACGCCGCGCGTCACCTCGCGACGTCGTCCTCGCCTATGAATTTCCCGTCCGATCCGGGAAATACCTCGAGCGTTCTCGCGCGAAAGGAGCCGGTGGAGCGTTCCGACGCCCCGGCGGTATCGTCCCTGAAAGGCGTCGTATCGGATCGGCGCACGCGCCCCTCGGGTTTTAATAAAATCCCATCGAGATTAGTTACTCGGTACCCGGACCCGCCGTTTCCCTCGGGGAGCGAATCTTCGACGACAATGGCTCGCGTCCTCCGAATCCTCCGCGGCCTAGAACCCGCGATCCCGCCCCTGCGGAACGCGGATTTAATGGGATTCGCGAGTGTTTGCCCGCCATGGGTACGGCCATGGGTACGGCCATGGGTACGGCCATGGGTTCGGCCAAGGACGCGGCCTCGGGGTGGATCCTTTGCACGCGAATCGCTTTGCCAGCCGACTTATCCTGCGAGTGGGCTCCTTATAAGCGGAAAGCGTTCCGCGACGGGAGGACGTCGCTCCGTTACGAGGCGAGGAACGGCCGGGGGGAGGGGGAGTCTTTATTCCATGCTCCGGGTCATTTCGTTTAATGGCTGAATACCGAAGCGCTCGACGATGCCGGCAACCCGAAGAAGAAAAGATAATCGAAAGGAAATGTAAAGAAGCCCGTTGGCATACGGTCTCGGCGGGGGAGAGGGTGGAATGTAAAGTGGTGAGGATGCCCCGTGTACCGGCTTAATTGGAGCCCCATGCCGGGAAAGAGTTCCGTAATTTATGTTCGATTTGATCAGCGGCCAACGAAGGGGCCGGGATCGATGTTAAGAGGTCGGCCAGGGTGGCAACGAGGGTAGGTGGATCGCGAACGTCGGGGCAAAAAGCGCCAAGGTAATTCCCGAAGCACGCGTTTGCGTTGCACCGGGAGCTACCCGGTGCAGTCGATTCTCGGTATTACCCCGCTACGGGGGCGAAAGGAGACCTCGAGCCGAGCAATCTGCCGACCGGGTGGCGGCGAGATGACAAACGATTAGCGTCGGGTCGCGCCTCGGACGAGTAATTCGCGTGAGCGAATACGCGAGGGCGTAATTCCCCGATTTTTTTCAAGGGCCGGCGCGGAACCGATAACGACGGGATAATCGGATTAAACCGGCGCGATGAATTAATCTTGGTCCGTCCACGGACGTAAAAATTTCACCGCGTAATTTCCCCCGTATCTCTTGCAGTCTTTATTTCATGCTCGAGGAGGCCCCTCTGGCAGTGGGGCCA